CAAATTGGTCTACATTGTCAAATGTAATAGAAATACTCCAGCTTCACAGGTCATTATTTTGTTCTTTAATTCATTACCGGGCACTATTTTCTCACCCACAGGCACAATGAAATGGAACTGTTTTTTCACCTCTGCAATCTTTTTTTCCTCTAAAACATACTGTACATATTAAATAACTCATTGGTTTGAGAATGCAGTTTAAATTAATTCCAGTACCTTTACTTAAAAATGCTTACCTGCAAATAAAAAAAAAAAAAAAATATGATCTAAAAGTGCTTACAGACAACATACCCATAGACATTAGAGGAGAGTTAAAGTAGGAGGACTAAATTTGGGAGTGGCTATTGCATACTTGATTTTGGAGGTGTACGCACATCCTGGTAATACTTATCCTTGCGTCGCTACGTAAGCAGACATAAACCCTAACTGGATGACATTTGGTTTATTAAAACACTGTGAATTATAAATAACTGCCTTGGTTTTTGTAAATATAATACTAGCTTTGATCTTTCTCTTATTCTTGGTTGTATCTGAGTACTGCTGATCTCCTTTAGCCTCTTTCAGGCACTTCCTCCTATCAAGCTCTCTGCAGCTTCAGCTGAACATCATTACTCTGGACTGGCTTTCTAAGAGCAGCAACAATGGACCATGCTTGCAGAATGTGTGTCTGAATGTCCGCTTGAAGTCTCCACAAGGGCTGCATATGACAAGCAACAACACAGGAGCAAAAATGGGAGACCGTTTCAACCCCTTAACAAGAAGTGCCTGACTAAGGATTTTCATGGCAGCATTACCAGGTATTCTTTTGAGAAGCAAAAAGATGCAGATATAATAAGGTAAAACTCTACTTTTGGTGTGACATTAACATGTTAAGGGCTCATGCACGAAGGGCTTAAAGAATGACACTTTTACAGGCGTTTTTTTTTAAAACCGTAATAGCACCTCTACGTTCGCCTAAGTGTACATGCAAACACGGGCATTTAAAGATGGATTACGAGAGGAGCGTTTACAGGCAAAAACCATCACCAGCATGTTCAGGAGAGGAGTTTTTTAGTAGAACAACCTCTTGACATGCCTATATGCGTGTAAACACAACGAAAAACTAGATGCATTTAGCACTTGAGAGTTCCTTCATTCCAATGGCCAGAATAAATTAATTTTCTAGCCCATGGAATCCATTTATGCTCAAATGCTTGACGCATGTAAATGCCTGTGCAATACAAGGATTTAGGCACATTCTGTGCATCAGCCCTAAAACTTATGAGATTTTAATGATTGGGTTTAGATTTTAATAACCGACTCACTGCCACTACAGCATTGCCACTCTTCCCCTGCACACTCATTTTGGGTAGGTGGCTCATAAAATGAAGAATAATGATGGCAGTCCTGGAATCTGCATCTTTAAAGTGGTTGCAAAGGTTCCAGGTTTTTTACCTTCATGCATTCTATGCAAGAAGGTTAAAAACCTTCTGTGTGCAGCAGTCCACCCAAATACTTACCGGAGCCCCCTCTTGATTTAGTGGTGTCCACAAGCGCATCGGCTCTCCGGAGACTATCACTCCTGATTGGCTGAGGCAGCAATGGGAGCCACTGGCTTCTTCCAATCACAGCCAGTGAGCCAATCAGGTAATGGAGGGGGCAGGGCCTAGCTGCTGTTGTGTGTGTGAATTGACACGCAGAGCCGCAGCTCAGGAGCGCACCTGTTTGGGTGCCCCCATAGCAAGCTGCTTGCTCTGGGGGAACTCAGCAGGAGGGAGGGGCCAGGAGTGCCAGCCGGGGACCCAAGAAGAGGATCCAGGCTGCTCTGTGCAAAACCACTACACAGAGCAGGTAAGTATAACATGGTTTTTTTTTTTTCTTTAAAGACTTTACTATCACTTTAATGTTGCCAAGGTTCAAACTTGACAAGTGGAGTGCTGTTCAATAAATATTTGGGGTTATTTTTATTCTGTGGATCACCACATACTGAATAATTAGGGTTTCATGGGCTGAATCACCAAACGTCTCATACATTTTTGAGCCCTCGCTCTGCCCCAACATACAGCAGGCTTTGACTCTTTCTTGCTGGTATACTTCTACATTTTACATAATGTAAAATAAATGAAAGAGCCAATAGCAAATGTGAGAACCCATGTTGTAAGAGCAGCAGGTAGACAAGGCTAGAAGCTGATGAGAACTGTGCTGGTGCCTCTGAAAGATGTATAATGTTGATAAGTGGTCCAACCCATCGATATTCACTTAAATTAGCGAGTTAATTTTTTCCTATAGCACACAGGCTGAATATTTAATGCTGGTTTAATTTTTTTTTTACCATAGGATCCATACGCACACAAAGAACAATGTTCAAAGTCCAGTAACCCACAGCAATCAGAAAACATTCATTTTGGTTGTCTTGGGTTACTATCCTTTTTACATCAACACTTCTCTTCTCAATGCTTTAGTGAATACATCCAAATCTAGGATCAGTACATTTGCTGTAAGCACTGCTCCAGCATCACAACAGGAGACAAAAATGATATCAGACATTATCTGTACCTTACTGTCACTTAGCCAAATAAATGCGTCCTAAACTGGCAATGCACATTAGGACTAGTCTAAGACCACTGCTATTGGGGCTTAACACATCCGGGTTCCAGTTTTCAGCATAACCATGGCACTTGCAGGAAAAGTCAGGCATCAAGGCAATACTATGATGTCCTACAGGGAGGAAAGAGCCCCTTCTTGGGGAATTACTGATAGGACAAGGACTGCAGCATGAGTGTGGATTATTTCATGTTCTATTCTGAAGTGACACAATCCTTTCAACACTTGTCTGTATTAGGCAATTTGATTTGAGAAAGAAAAATACTGACAGCCAGTACTAATATCCAAGGAACATGCTTCAAGTAATTTTGTTAAAGTGTTACTAAACCCACAACAGTAAAAATCAGTCTGTATATACAGTAAAGCATGCTTGTTATACTGTGGGACCTAAGGGGTCCTCTGCATTATGTAAAAAGGCTGTTTGATCCTGTCTTCTCTGATCCACCCCTTTTTCCACAGTCCCCATCCATGTGCTGATAGTACAGAGCCCTAGGAGACACTCGGAACACGCTCAGTTTGGTGTGTATTGCTAGAGTTTTTTCTTTTGAAGGGTGCATGTGATCAGCACAAGGCCAATCAACACTGTCTAGATAGAGGGTCTGAGGTCATGCAGCCTCATAGGAATTCAGAGAGGAATGAAAACTCCTCCTACAAGCTTTAACCAGTGCTCAGCTGGATATGATAGAAACCACAAGACTGTTATGTACTGCTGATGTGAAAAGGTATTTAGCAAGTTTATATTTACTAAAATAACTGCAATTCCATGTTCTGTGGGAGACTGGATGTTTAGTAACACTTTAAACACCTAGGTGCATGAGGCCCTATAACACTCCAAAAAGCCTTTAAATAGCCAAGAATCTAATTTGGTGTGCCATGGACATGTCTGTGTGCTGATGCCTAAATCATTTGTAATACACACGCACACATAGTACCAACTCATGTTTCAAAATTCTGAAATTGCTTGGGTGCAGTACACTGTGTATACTGGCGTGGTCTTAGGAAAGGTCAGTTTTTTTGACCCAAACTTTAGGCAGATATTAGGGAGGCAGGTTAGAAGTAAAGTCATCAACACATACCTGTGAGTTGTACAAAGAGGTCTGATGGTTCTCTGGCTGGTCACAAGCCCTGCAATCACAATGACCTACACTATGGTGCTGACATCAGCAGAGCCCTTAGTGAGTAAAGTAAGCTATGCAGAGACAGGCCAAGTCACGTGCGGTCTTCCGATCATGTGACCTGAAGTGCCTGAAGTGTTTCACGACCTTCCCGCCACCCTAATGTATGGGCAGTCTATTAAAGCAAATCTATCTCTACACTACAGGGCCACTCTAAAGCAAAGAATGCTTTTAACTCTGACAATTGAATATCATCTGATGTCTATAGGTACCTTTATTTCAGATCTGTGAATTTATCTGAGACGAGAGGGAGGAAAACCTACCTGCATGGTTTCAGATTGCTGAGAAATTAAAGAAAAAAAGAAGAAGAAAGAAAAAGGAAGTAATGACTATACAGCTTTCTTTATATACAGTATGCCAAAGTCTAAGCTGCCCTTTGGCTTCTATTTACATAATAAGTGTAATATTTTAATACCACAGAATTAGCATGACCACAGTATACAGTATCAGCGCTCAATGGAATCTTCTAGCTGCAGGTTAGCACACAGTTAGCAATGTCATAGAATACTATGATTATATGACTTACACACACAATCAAAATTCAGTCAGAGAGAATGCACTGATAAAAAAAAAAAAGTCCAAAATATGATTTTGGTGGCTTAAATAATATTTAACACCAGTGTACAGCTCTGCAAGGTCGAGAGGACAGAAGCTCAATTTTTCCAGCAAGGAGAGCTTGAGAAGGAATAGAACACAATGGTATAATAATTCTCCGTGCAGAGCCGAGCATTTGTCAGATGTTCCTTTGACCATGCTGCTGTATACCTGCACAAAAAGCCACTGGCTGCTTCCAACAACACATACCAGATGCATTTTCACTAGAAAAAATAAACTGAACTTCAAATGGTTCAACAGCAAGTACAAAGATCAGCTGCAAACACTTCAGGACAAGTGACAGTGGTTAAAGGTTCATATCTATGGCATATTAGTAGTTTTAATCTCCAGTAAATCCAGTGTCTTTGTTAGACTTGCAGTTCTGTTAAGAAATTAAAAAAAAAAAAAAAAAGGATCCAAACTTAAAACCCCCAAAAGATCATAAAATGTCAAAAACAGTCAATGGAGAATTGATAAGAGATATGTAGGCCAAAACGTTTCAACTCCAGCGCTTTCCAATCATCTTCACAGAAGTGCAAAAAGAAACCCAAGGTAGTTTTGGTCCAAGATAGAAAAACAAAAAAACACAAAAGGTAGTGGTGTCCTTCTGGCTGAGATGGTCGTTCAGAGGCTGCCAGAGATGACGGCTCAGCGGCCAAAGATTGAGTTATGCTCCATTAGAATTAGCTCTACTATTTGACTCTGGTATACCGTGTGGATGGCTATATTTCCAGTTTCTTTTTCCGGCTTCAACAAGGTTGGACCGAATACTATTGCTAAACTTTGAAAATTCATTCTGTTTTTATCTCCAATTTCCACAACACTAGAGAAGGGGGAAAAAAACAAAATATTAGAAAACGTAAAAGCTGATTTCTTTACATACAATTGTATTATATTCAGAGATAAAATTGAACTAGTACTTGGTTTGTAGAAGCCGAATAATGACATTTTCAACAAAAACGTACTGTAGACAAATTTCCAATAAAATGACTGAAAACTTAAGAGGGCCATGTTTGTCCATACAGGGATGCACAGGCTATTCATGTCCCATTCATGTCAAGTGCAACGCAGCAGCTACTCCTAATTCGACATTTGTGTGGGTGCATGCAGGTGTGGGTCGCCAAATGCGGATGGTACACTTATAAATTATTATTATTATACAGGATTTATATAACGCCAACAGTTTGCTCAGCACTTTACAATATAACGGGAGACAATACAGCAACAATACAGTTCAATACAAGAGGGATAGAAGGGCCCTGCTCCTTGGCTGGAGTGAATCAGGGTCTATACTTCTAAAGTGCTAATAAATTACAATGGGATGGACAGTATACAAATATTTGCTGCAGCATTATGAAAAGTAAGGTACATGTTCATACCGGCAGTGTTGCTGTACTTACAGTGTACTTCTAAGCACTAACTGAGGCTCAGAACCAACACAGATTCTGGGGTATGAGGAGAGGACATGCCTTCTACCCGGTTCAACAGGGCTAGGCCGTATGGAGCATTCTTTTTAACTTTACACTTGATTTAAGACACTTTTCAAAAGAAATGCTTTCCATTAAAACATGATGTTGTAATTGCCAAGGGTCTAAATTGACAGAGAGTGGTTCAAGTAGCCAGTCAGGAAAAATCTAACTGCACAACCCATATCCAGGCCACAAAGTCCACTGAAGCTGGGATGTGGAAAGATGCTGAGGCACAGGTACACCATCTGTTGTCCAAATCTGGGTAATCCAGTGGCTGGAGAGGGATCATCAGTAATTCTAATGTTTTGTTCTAAAAAGCATACCTGTCTTCTAAGGGGCATATTCTTAAAGCCAGTTATCGTTGCAATAAACAGCATATTGTCACAAAGAGAGTAACAATTAATGTAAATCTACATGGTTGTAAAGGCTGAAGATTTTTTACCTTCATGCATTCTATGCATGAAGGTAAAAAAAAAAAAATATCTTCTTGATCCAGTAACGTGCACGGGAGCCCTGCTGTCCCAGGTGTTTCTCTGCTCTATAGGCACAGCCATTGGTTGCCACTGCTGTCAATCACAGGCAGTGAGCCAATAAGGAGAGAGCCAGGGGCGGGCCGAGCCGCAGCTCTGTGTGTCTTATGGATGCATAGAGTGGGGCTCAGGAGCGAGCATGCACCAGTGACCCCACAGAAAGCGGCTTGCTATTAGAGGCAATGGCCAAGGAGGAGTCAGGCGTGCCGGCGGGGGACCCGCGAAGAAGAGGATTGGGGCTGCTCTGTGCAAAACCATTACACAGAGCACGTAAGTATGACAAGTTAAAAAAATAAAAGAAATAAAAAATCACTTTAAATACAGAGAATATTACTGCAACCTGGATTTCCCATTCAAAAGTTCAAAATTAAAAATAGGATGGTGACCAACACATTACATGATCTCTAGGCAAACCTGGTGAAAAAGTGCAAAGTGTGTCAACATAAATTTATAGCAATATTAAAAAAACTTCAGCTTTTTTTTTTCTTTTTTTTTTTTTTAAACAAATGTTATACATACCTGTTCTGTGCAATGGTTTTTACAGAGCAGCCCCGATCCTCCTCTTCTCAGGTCCCCCACCAGTGCTTCTGGCTCCTCTTCTTCAGCGAATGCCCACCATAGAAAAGCCCAAGCCTCCCTGTCTGTGTCTACTGACAAAGACAGGGTAGCACAGCCCCGCCCTTGTCACAGAATTTGATTGACAGCAGTGGAAGGCAATAGCTCCCACTGCTATCAATCTGCTCAGTAAGAAGAGAAAGCTGTTGCTCTCATCCATATCGCTGGATCAAGATCGGGCTCAGGTAAGTATAAGGGGCTGGGGGTATCCTCTGGCACAGAAGGTTTTTACCTAAATGCATATAATGCATTAAGGTAAAAAAAAAAGCCTTTACAACCACTTTAAGGTTGAACAGTATGGCCCATAAGGCTTAGGCACAACCTCACCTGCACCCATGTAACAAAGTCAAGGCCTGGGCTATAGGGCATTTAGACACTGCATAGTTAGGCTGTTGAGAAGACATGACATCTTTCTCCACACCCCAGAAGGAGGGTTGGTTCTGGGACTCCAAAGCTGCACTGCAAATGAAAATTTGTACCTAAAACCCCATTTCCTTAGGTTGGCATTTGCCACTGCAAAAACCAAGTAACACATTCTTGCAAAATGAGGACAAAAGTGGATGAACCCATGCCAAAATAATAGATATTACAGACACACTCCTAACATAGCAAGACCCCCTTAAGGTAACAGTAATCAGGAATCTGGCACAAATCAACAATACTAGAATCATGTCTCACCCTGGTGACACAGTTTTATTGCTCTTGCATGAACATTAACATACCAGTGTTTTAGGACTGTGCTAAGGATTTATTATTTTTGCTTACTAAAAGGGCTCTGCATGATCACAAAGGACTGGTATCTTGTAATATGCATTTATGCAAAGGAAATAAAACAGACTCAGTGGTGAAGGTGCACTAGATATATACTACCTGTGGCAGAATCCAGGGAAGTACCCAGCCAATGTACCTAAATTGTATTTTCTGTTTTTAATAACAGTCCCCAACATAAAGCCGTCATTAAAACAGTTCACAGTTAAAATACAATCCTGATTTAATTTTAAATGATGGAGTCACTTAAACAAAAATGCAATCATTTCAAAATCTTTGCATAAACATACCAAAGTAACACAGAAGGCCAGATCAGCTGAAAAAGCCGATTTACATTCTAAAGCACCAATCAAAAGTTAGTTCCACAGTGCTACACTTGTTTGTGAGTTTTCGTAATAGAAAGTTGCTAAGCTCAGCATTATTGCCACTTAAAACAAGACCAAAGCATTTCAATGACAAATCTTTCCATACATTCAGTTCTTTAAACTCACTGTTTAAGATGCTTGAAGAGCGCCTGCATTGTGTCTTGGTTGGGCTTTGGCAACTGCTTAATTAAATCTCTGACAGCTTGAACGCGATGTTTGGGTTCTTGTTCTAGGAGAAAAGTGATTTGCTATGAATTATGTCAGCTGATATGAAGGTATACGGCAGGGAATAGCTATACGCTGTCATCCACTGCCCTCAAGTGGCCACATTTAAATGTTGCCAGAATACTACAATGTCTGTAAATCACGCACCACTGAAAAGCAAAATGAAAAGCTACAAAATGACTACATTACAGTTATATGAATAGAACAGATGGTGTGAGCTAGAACAAGAATCATTTGTGGGCAACTGTGTACCCAGAGCTGATATAATGTCACTGATCCAGCCCACACAGCAGTTCCCAGGTCTCATTAAAGTGGTAGTAAACTTGCTGAAAAAAAATAAAACAAAAACAGGGCCCCGGGTGGTTTAGGCCATAATGTGCTAGTATGCATCACATTCTAGCAAATTATGGCATACTTACCTAAAATGAACCCCTCCAGGGGTGCGCTGTCACCACTGACAGGGCTTCCATCTTCACCCGGTCTTCTTTCCAGGTTCACGGGCTGTGGCCTCTTGAATGGCCAAGTCACAATTATGTCACGCCACAGCACAGAGCTCTGAAGGGACGGCATGAATACGAGTACCTCCTAAACACCACACGTTTAGAAGATATTCACTGTACCTACATTTGAGCCTTATTATAAACTTACCTGTAGGTACACGTTCAAAGAACAAGTTAACTACTACCACGTTAATAGAAGACATGGAAACTTCAGCTTCTATGATGTACGACTTGCAAATCAAGATAACAGTAACACCATTAATGTTAGAAGGAGAGTGCTGAAAAAGCCAGAATAAATATACATAGAAATACGCTTCAGGAATGCAGCCTGAAACTTACTGATAGCATTCACAAAGTCATTGAAGTAGTTGTAGGTAAAAAGGGGTTCAGGCAGTTCTCTGAAGAACATCTTCAATGCACCCGTAATGACATGGATATCTTCCCATTTACTGTCGTTCAAATCCAGTTTCTCATCTGGAAGAACAGAAGATACAAACTGCTAAAAAAACATAATGAACCCCTGGCACACAGCTAAATATACCAATAAAAGAGAACTGCTAAATCTGACAAAAGATTTTTATTTTTCCCCACACATACGTAGAATTTACACAGAGCACAGCCCTGCCAGACAGCACAGCCAGGTGGATAATGCCACTTTCTCTGTTACAGTTTTAAACTATAAAAGGAATACAGTGCTGGATTCTCTCCACCCTAGCCTTCTGACCGGACAGTGAAAGAGCAGCAGACTAATGAGGTCATGGATTTGCTCACTATGCTCTCTCCTTCTATCAGGAAAGATTTTTTTTTTTGGACACATTTGCATGCAAGACACCTGATTGGACCTTAGTGCTGCTCCTTTCTCTCCAGTCTAAGTACTGCTTTATAGAGGATTGCAAGAGGTTCATACCAATACATTTTAAGTTACTAACACTCATTAAATTCGCTCAATAAAGCAGAACTTCTCTGTCAATCAACATTAACTATTTTTAGTCCTTATGCTGCTAGCATTAGTATATAGGAGTATATAGGAATAGGAAAGTATATCATATTTACTTGTTTAAACTTTTGTTTACATTTCTTCAGTTATTTCATGGTAATTTCCTAAGCAAATGATTCATACATCCCATTATTCTTCAAAAGGGGAGGAGAGGTTTTCTTAGCCAAGCATACCTTCATGCCTGAGCTAAAAAGGGAACGGCAGATAAACTCCAGGAAGTAAATGCTAGATGAGTCATCTGCCCTCATTCAAGATGGCCACAACCTGAAATGCTAGTGGTGGTGGGTCAAAGTTATTTCTCAGCAAAATAAAGCATGGAGATATGGATGAATGAGTTATTTTGCTTTGAACATTAAATAGGATTTTTACTTTGTGGTGCTGACATGTAGTGTAGCTCCTCTTTAAAGAAAAAAATAATGTGTAAACCCTTAATGGTTGAAGGCCAAACAAATTTTAACACCTAAAGTATATTTACAACTTTGGGATGCCTTAGTAAGACTGTACATACCAAAGCAACTACTTGGGTAAAGTATTCCTTGTGTGACACCAGAGTCAATGGATTAATGAATACCTAGTCATAATAATTAGTGTCTTTTCATCTGGAGTTTAAATTTAGGCATAAGTGACAATTTCATATTTTGACATTTACAAAAAAAAAAAAAAAAAAATCTACAGGGGTTAGACAAAAAAAAAAAATAGAACCACTACAGGATTTCCAGGTGTGAAAGTGACTACATGTTTTGCGATGAAGGCGGAAGTGATGTAACATTATTTTGCTTTTGCTGTGTGATGAGACACCTAGCTAACAGGTAGGAAGCCTCACTTTCCATCATACACTGCATGAGCTGCTAGTAATACGGAGTCATGTCAGAGCTTACTGAGCTTCAAAGAGGGCAAATTGTTGGTGCCGCTTAGCTGGGGTCACTGTGATTGAAGTTGCAAATGTATTTGCCGTGTCGTGAGGTACAGTATCAAAACGTTGTCTGACAAGCATAAACGTGGTCCACATGGCCAACTGACCAAAAGAGAACAAATGGACATTGCATAGAAATGTGACCCAACTGCTGCAAAAGTGACTGCAGAGCTCAATCTCAGTCCCTTATCAGGCGACATTTTCCCGTAAACTGTATATGCTGTCATAACCTTTGATACTGTTCCTCATGACATGGCAAAAAATTGGCAGCTTCAGTCACTGAGGCACCAGCTAAGCGGACACCAACAATTTGCCTTCTTTGAAGCTCAGTAAGCTCTGACATGACTCCGTATTACTAGCAGCGCACGCAGTAAATAACGAAAGTGAGGTTTCTGACCTGTTAGCTAGGTGTCTCATCACACAGCAGAAGCAAAAAAAATGTTGCATCACTTCCACTTTCAACGCGAAGCATGCCATCACTTTCACATCTGAAAATCATGCAGTGTTCCATTTTTTTTGTCTAACTCCTGTATGTGAAAAATTATGTACGTGTTAGTGTACACAGTTAACAAAAGACTATATACATCTATTGCTGAAGACTATTTGTGTACAAGAGGAACGAAAGATGGAAAAGAACATTTCTAGTATTGGCTAAATAAAGAACAAAGCCCAAGAACAGGTTTAAACTAAAATTAGAAATGATGGCTTCTAAAAAACTTACCATGTGTGACTGCAAAGCGGAGCTTTTGTATCACAGCAAGGTTCCCGCTGACTCTGTATAATCCATCTATATCCAGTCCTAAAGAGATTTAAGAAAAACAATGTTATTCCAACTGAACATTCATTTTACAAAAAAACCCCATAAAATCTGCAAGAGGCAATTCTTCCTTGAACAGTTCTAAAGCAAAGGGAGAAAATCTCCCATGATGCACCTAGAGCTGCTTCGTCTCCTGTGTGAGCTGTGCCAGCATGTATATGGATATAGTAGAGAGATCAGTAGAGTTTCCGGACATTATGTCCTTTAAGGCTAAGCTGCATATTAAATGCCCTCTCCAAGGAAAGTAAGCAGGGCATACACTAGTAGAATTTTGTTTGATATTTTTCGTTGTAAGAATGCTCATTTGTTTTTATAATCATTGGTAGGGTCAAATCAATCACAGTGATGAGAGAATTGAAGGAGCAGGATCGATTTTTTTTTCTCAAATATACAAATTTCTAACAGTGTATGTGGTTTTTGTTCCGTAAAGTCCATTCATTCCAAAATCACATTTTAAAAGCAAATGAAATCTTGAACTACTTTTAAAGACATTTAAATGTACCGAGAACCTTCATTCAAATTTTAATATTTTGCTAGTGTTTACCCAACTTTAGCTGGCTATATTTACTCACTTCTATGGAACTTAAGTTGGATATCTTTGTTGTTCCATAAGCAGGAAATGTTTAGCATAACATAATTAACCCTTTTACTGTCCTATCTGTACAGATCTAATCGCGGGGGATTTTACACACAGCTGCCCAAACCCCAAAGAAAATAGAAAATTGGAACTACCGCCAACTTATTCTCTAGGGCAGCTTTCCTCAGCCTTTTCAACAAAGAGGAACCCTTGAAATAACTTTCCCATCTAAGGGAACCCCTACTAAAAATGAGTAGATCTACAACTCATGATACATTAGTGGGATGGTCAGTGGGAAGAATGCTCCTTACACTTGTGGTTATTGGGAAGAATTACCCCCTTACAGATAGCTAAAAAGATCAATGATGTCAGTGGGAGCTTATCTGAGAGGCAAGCATTTATCATTACTCAAGGAACCCCTAGCAATCTCTTGAGGAACCTCAGGGTCCCATGGAACCCTGGTTAAGAAACCCTGCCCTAGGGTGTCTACTTTCAGGAAATATATGTTTTGGTGGGTTTTATGCAATCTTCAGCGTTAAATTATTTTTTACACGTGTAAAAAATATTTTAAAAAATGCTCTGGCAGCGAAAGGGTTACATGCACTTTGTAGCTACGTATGTGAATAAGAGATTGTGTTTGAGGACACGTACCATGTTCTTCAATATGGTCAATGCACATCTTAACAAAATTTGGCACAGTAGTGTTTTCTCTCTGACAAAGACCAGCCAGACTGGAGCCAAACACCTGGTCTGTAAAAAAAACAAAAAAAAAAAAAAAAAAAAAAAAAAAAACAAAAACGATTAGGAAAAGTGAAGAACAATATAAATGCAGTATAAAAAGGACAATATAAAATACTGATCAATGGATTAAAACATACTATTAATATGAAGAGTTGCAACATTTCAGCTGACTGATATTGAACAACATGTCTATATCCAACATGTTTTAATGAACCCTGACAAATGAACGGGGTCCTTTCTTTTACCTTTGATGTAGCCCTTCTCACGGACAGCTTGCAATGTTGGCCGTCGGATAAGAAACTTCTTTAACTTCGTTTTTGTTTTTTTCTGCTCAGTGTTGTCAATACTGGTCGTTTGTTTAATGGCTAAAGTAAAGAAATGACAGGCGTGAGTAGACAAGCAGATTGTGATTTACAGTAAACTATTGCTGTTGTGGAATTACAGGTCCCAGAGCAATTATGATAAAGGTACAGTAGCCAATATCAAAAATCCAACAAATCCTATCAGAGAAGCCAGAAAGATGAATGGTAATTAAGAATCAACTTAATAAAAGCATGAAATACTGTAAAATAAACAAAGTGTGCTACAGAAAACGTAACTGTAGTGTGTAATCACCCTCAAAACCTTGATAAATAAAATCTACCTCTTTATTATTTCAAATTATATTAATTATAACAAATGACCTTTACCCACTTTTACTATTCTTCACTTTGGCTTTATCATTCTGGCCTCGTGTATTGCTCACATATTACCGATTACCATAGCCGAGCTGCACACACACAAAAAAAACCCCCCAAAAGATCCCAAGTGTGTGCAGAACAACAAGGGCACAAGACAGTTCTAATCTGACTGAAACCAACAATCAAGTACAGTTCAGGTAAGCCTTGGGAGTGAAGTAGCAGGCGCAGGTAAATATAGGTTATTTTATGCTAAACACCACCCACATAAAACTGGGATCGGAGTAAATTGTAAATGCAGAATTGAATAAGGAATCAACATGGAAAAGGCAAGGTCATTGCAATAATCAGGTACATATCTAAAAATGAAATGTATAAGCAAGGAAGGATCACTGTTGGGGAAGACTGTACATAAACAGATCTCCTATGATAAGGGATGGGACTATGGAGTTCCGTATACAGGAAAGAGAAGCAGAGTTTATAGTCCATTAACAGATGAACCAGCACAGCAATCTGATTTTAAATAGGTGTTTAAAAAAAAAAAAAAACTTTAAATGGCAGACTTTTAAATAGTGACAAGTGTTAGATTCAGATGCAAACAAACTTTTGTTGAACACAAGGCAAATAGCTAAATACACAGATGACATACAGCTGTTTTATCTGACAAATGATTTGTATTTCTGCCCATATGAAATTTACACAGCCTTGACACACAGTACAACCAAACAGATGACATCTGTTTAGCAGGGACCGACTGAATTTCGATCCACGTGTGGCCAGAAGTCAATGTACAGAACTTGCTTCTGTTCAACCGTCCCGTCAGTATATTTCCACTCGATCAGAGTCCTAGGAAAAAGGCTGCAGTGCTGATCTTTGTAATCTGATGGCAGGGAAGTCTCCCTGCTGTCAGAATACAAGTACACAGTGCAGAGAATTCCCCCATCCACATTGAATGCATGGATGGGAGAACTGGCTGTTTTTTCATTCAACCCACTGGTTGAATGAAAAAAACTGACCCACGCATAGCCAGCTTTATTGTTATATACTGTAGAAGGAATAATACTTTGGTGCCATCTCTCCAACCCCAGCTTGCTGACTGGACAATGAAAGAGCAGCCACAGACTGATGAGGCAATCTTTCTGCATGTTTCTTGTCAGCACTTTTGCATGTAGCACAGCTGATCAGCTCCCAGTCCTGTCAGACCAAAATCACCACAGTGGTCGGAGGTGCAGGACAGTGTTGAAAATGCCATCTACAAAGATGATGGGGTTATGCCCTGTGTTGTGTGATGTCCATGCAGTGGAGGGGCGCTGTACTGCTTAAACAAAAATTCGAAAAAAGTGCAAGCTGGACCTGGGACTATGCAGTGACAGACACAAAACATTGATGTCCCACCAGAATGGAGAATCAGGATTTCCTGCTTCTTCCAGTATGTTATTTAATCATTTAAAAGATACCTGATGAATTGATGATAAAAGATAACTGAAAAACAGACACTAATTAGTATTATGCAGCCAAGAACAACCTTGAAACCAGAAAACAGGTGTTTCATCCCCTCAACAATGGTACCTCTGCACAGTGTGCAGCGCTGAGGGTCACCTGTGGTGCTACTCTCATTACAAGTGCATCGCTGTGTCCACAAGTTAAATTGTTACTAAAGGCTACATTTTTTTAAAAATTAAAATAACAAACATGTTATACTCACTGGCTCTGTGCAATGGTACAGCACAGAGTGGCCCTGATTCTCCTCTTCTTGTGTCCCCAGCCAGCAATCTTGGCTCCTACTCTTCTTAGTGTGTTCTCATGGCAAGCCGTTTGCTATGGAGGCATGTGGTGTCTGCTTGCTCGAGCTGTGTGTCTATGGAGCCGCGATCACTCAGAGCGCTTATCCCCACGCCCCACTTCCTCCTCACTGCATCTGATTGACAGCAGCAGGAGCCACTGCTTTCTGCTCAGAGCAGCTGTGAGAACTCAGCAATCAGCGGTCATGTGATCGCTGAGTCCCCACACTTGACGTATCTGGATTTGGACAAGCATGCCTGCGCATATATCCTGCTTATCTTTTGTTAATGCGCACATAATAGGCTAGAGGTTATACCAATCCAGTAGAGGGTATCTTTGTTTTCACTTGATTTTATTGTGTTGGATGTTTTTATGTATCAAGAAATTGTAATAAAATCTGTTTATATTTATTTATGTCTCATGGTGTATCTATAAAGTCCGTTTAAAGTCCGGCCGTTTAAACTCCAGTGGTTGCTGGTGAAATTTTTCTTCTTCAGTTTACTTTTCTACTGTTCAGTATATTTGGATGTGGCACTTTGATAATAAAGCTAAAAATACTCAAAAATTATAGGACTTTCACTTTAAGAAAAATGACCAGGTATGTCTGAAACTGACATTAGGTGGACACAGCCCATTTCTCTGATGCATGTGGGCGCTTGTATTACGAGTAGCAGTTTTGGACATGAGCAGCAGTGTGGACAGGCTGCTCAGTGCAGTGGTGTCCATTGCTGGGGAAAACACTTATTTTCTGTTTACACGGCTGCCTGATGCTGGTTCAGCACGTTTTTTTTTCTTTAATGCCACTGCTTTTCATTAACCCTGAGACATATCTCAGAAGCCTTACATCGACTCTTTTTGGAATCTTTGTCGTGATCCTTTTCCTTGTCATGTTTTTCTTTTCCTTGTTTCTCCACTGGAGAATCAGGCACATTATCCTCACTGGTTTCTTCCGACTCTATAATCTGTAAGTAATAAAAACACATGCACATTAGAGAAGCCCTAAAACGTGTATATTGTTAAACAGTTTAACTGTAGGAAAAATAATGGAGGAAAGAAAAGTACATTGGCACCAAATTTTAATCTAGATACCTCTTCCATGATGCAGATGGTAAGATTAACAAAGTGGAGTTGTAATTACCAAAGCAGTAAATCTGTAATACTCAGCAATTCAGAGCACAACAAATGTTTAAGTAGCTTGTAAAGGAACTGTAAGATCTTTTTTTAACATTTACTTTTTAGATGTACATTTGTAGGATTTCCACATAATTCAAAAATAGTTTTAGCATTATTAATTAGCAATATTGCTCTAAACATATCCAGTGTGCGATTCCTGCATGGTTCTACACCATGTTCAATCTACACCATTGTGGTAGCTTCCGTATAAGAAAAATTATTTAGGGTTATCTACAAAAATACTAAGATGTCTTACACTGAATGACAAACGGGCACTTAGAGAGAATCTGCAGTTCCTTTACCTGGTCTTTTCTATATGACTGCAGTTCAACTTAAAGCTAGCCAGACAGGGACCAATTTTTCACTAGCGTTTCCAGGGACCCTTGAATCTTAACTGATAATTATACAGTGGAAGAATGGAAACAGGCCATAAAAGCATAGCAATTCATCATTACCTAACATAAAAGGGAGAGGGACCTTGAAAAATGTTAGTAAAGTAAGCCAGTGAAGTTCTAAGAATAAGTTGTGGTTTGCTTGTGAGTGGGGCAAGCAGAATGATGGGTAGTTTTCTCATTATTAATAAGTACTGTTGCGATATCTGTCCTTCTGCAGCTAACTTGCGTTTTCCACAGAAAAAAAGGTGCATACACCATTTTGGAAATGCAGCGACTGGGAAATCGCATGGTACTTTTGCACCATGCAATTTCTCTGTGGCTTCCGATGTGTGGGGGTGCCATTAAGAATGAATGACCTTTTTGGGTAGTGAACATAAAACGAAAGTCACCAGAAATATACTTGCAGTATTAAACCACTTGCCTATCGGGCACTTATACCCTCTTCCTGCCCAGGCCAATTTTCAGCTTTCAGCACTGTCGCAATTTAAATGACAATTGCGTGGTCATGCAACATTGTACCCATATGACAGTTTTATAATTTTTTTCACACAAATAGAGCTTTCTTTTGGTGGTATTTCTTTTCTACTGGGTGTTTTACTTTTTGCGCTATAAAGAAAAAAAAAAAAAAAGAGCAAAAAAACTGAAAAAAAAAAAGTTTTTCTTTATTTCTATTACAAAATTTTGCAAACAGTTAATTTTTCTCCTTCACTGATGTGCATTGATGAGACTGCACTGATAGGCAGCACTGATGGGTACTGATAGGCAGCACTGATCGGTGGCACTGCTGGGCAATGACTGGCGGCACTGCTGGTAACTGATGGGTGGCACTGCTAGGCACTGATGGGCACTTGTGGGTGGCACTGCTGGGCATTGATCATCATGGTACTGGTCATCAGTGCCGATCTGTTTTCTCACAATTGCCGGTTGTCGGCAGTATTCTCCTCACACTGTGACAGCGTGAGGAAATTGCAGCCAATAACCGGCAACTGCATTTACCCAGTGATCTGCTGTTTCATTGGACACAGCTGATTACGTGGTAAAAGGTGGCTGTGATTGGCCTTTTACCACATCATATGATCAGCTGTGTCCGCAGGACACAGCGATCATGGAGATCGCTGGGGGCGCGTGTTTTGGGAGGGCGTCATATGACGCCCTCCCAGAACTGGACAACCACACTGTAGCCATCATTCGGCTATAGCGCGGTTGGCAAGTGGTTAAAAAACATTCGCTAGAATATATGTAACTAGTCTATGCTCTTTTATATCTGTCACAGTTCTGCCTTATACAGAAATATACAAACATTTAAAACATGATCGTACCGGAATACCAATAGTGTTGCAAAGTGCTGTGTACCATTCTTTGATCATATTGTCATTATCGGATTGTATCAGTAGCTCTGTTCCTGAGTTGGTTTTAAACCTGATGAAAACAAAGATAAGTTATCTCGTATGACATGGAGCTGCAGTTTAGTAACATACAGAAATCTATAGCTCCCCTCAAGACTGGCCTCTCTTGTACATGGACAACCTGGGTACGGACCATCACAGTGTCTCCACTCTTCATTGAAAAATAAAAAGGTTAGCCGCACTGCAATTAGCTCTTCTTGCAGTATTTTTAATAATCAGTGCACTGACTGCATACTGTGATACCTCCAACCCAAAACCAGCCTAACTTGACGTGTTTCACCACTCCTGGCTTGCTATCAAGGATGGGGTGCTATCCTTGTGAGCAAGCAGAGTTCCAGTTCAAGTATATTACTCAACAAGTGTTAGATAGCAGAGACAGTAATTATACTTGACCAGGTGAAACTGCCGCCATCTTGTTAAGCCGGCCATAGACTATGTGATTTTCTTTCCTCAAACTACGGGTTTCAGAAAAGAAAACTGCAGAGCTATTATGTTCTCCTGACAGGGAGGCCCATGAAGAAGAGGGGGGGCTGTCTTTGCTGGAAGAACATTATTATTGCTAGTGGCTATAGCCGCTGGCAATAATCGCATGAAAAATCCGTCAATCGAATTGGGCACAATTAACTTGCCTATACATGTTCACATCCCAGCCAGACCCTGCTGAACTGGCTGGGATTCAAACCATCAATGGATGACTTCAGAGGTATCGATTACATCTTGGGCTTTAACTGTGAAATAAAGCAAAAGACATTCTAAAATGGGGCTGTTAATTAGTTTAGTTGCTCAGCAGCAAACCGGCTTTTCCATCTTTTTGCAGTCCTCTTCCAGCCAGTATACAAGTGTTGTTCAGGCCATGAAGAATGTAGGAAGCCTGTAGGAAGCTTAAGGCATGCTACTCATTATTCTCTATGGTTGGAACTGGAATATGTGTGCCAGCTCAAATAGGGAATGGAAGAGGACTGGGCTGAGCAAGACAGACTGGCTATTTGCCACTTAAAAGTAATCTACATGTATGAACTGAAAGAAAAAATACTATTTTCATCAGGAGGTTGGTGACTGAGGAAAGAAATCTGCCTTAGAATGTGTTCCTTTAAATATAAATGAAAACACATATGGTGTGCATCTCTTAGTAAGTAATTCCATATTAAAAAGACTAACAGCATGCAGCCACTATATTTTCCAATAGCTATAGACATACTGTAAAACAGTAACCAGATTATTCAGCTGCTTTACAACAATCAATACATGCACACTCAATAGGGCAACAAAATCCGCTTACTTCAGGGGAACAAGACTGAACAGCCAAGAAAACACAACCCAAAAACGTTTTAAAGCTGGACTCCAGAGTATGCAAATATAATCTAAAAATCATGTGCATTCTTTCTTGGTGTGCTTTGTTTATTTTTTCCAGATCTTTGCAGTAATTCCATGTGAAACTTTACCTCTGTGCAGGAACGTCCTTTAATAAAGACTGGTCACTGCTGCTCCCTCTACTTGTGCATAGTGACTGGTCTTGTGTCCACCCCCACCTGTAGTTTTCTGTAGACTACCTGTAGCTGGTAGACTTGCTGAGCCCCTCTTTCAGGTCTGCTCTCTATATAGGCTATGTACAGTACCATAGTGATGTCACTCTACTACTTTTACAAGGTAAAATGTAATAACGGAGTCTGTAAATGTAACTGGTACAAAGTAGTGTATATCCTTTACGGCTATAAAATAATGTATTTAGATACATTATATTTTGTGCTCAGAGTTCAGCTTTAAAATGGTTGTAAACCTCTGACATGAAATTTTAACAAATCATATCCCTATATAGTGTGTACTTGTCTCTATCCAGAGCACTAAGTGTCATTTCTGTCTGCTGCCCTGCTCCTCTGCTATCAGCACGAGTCAATTATAATGATTAACAGTATCAGCTCTGTTCCTGTCTGCTGTGTGAGGCGAAGTAGGTCCCTCCTCTCCAATCAGCTCTCAGAGCTCTTCAACAGTGTGTAACTGCAGCTTCCCGCCCCTTGCTTTTCAGAGCTGAGAGATCCTGTGTAAATTCTGCACTTTGAATAAATGTAGGGGACAGACGGCTGTAGACAAATAGGTACAACTTTTGTGGAAGGATTTCTTTCATCTTTGTGTATCACCTGAGGCCAGTCACTTCATTGGTTATATGTAAGGGTTTACAACCACTTTAAGACTAAGTGTTAAACAAAAGATTGAAGAGATTACAATCTACCTCTATGACATTCTTTTTGCTGGATTTATCCTTTGTAGCCCATTCCACAGATGCTCCTTTAAGATCAACCGTAAATTCTGGTTTCGACTGGTTGCTTCCAAATTTCTAGATACGAGAAGTTATCAGTGCATTAGCCATCTTTACCAAGGACAACACATTGTTCAAAATCATAATTACTGGATAAATTAATGAAAGTATATAAAATGTAAGGTTGAAAACTGCCAATCCAGGCCAATGTGTTACTTCAGTTAAATATGGATCATAAGTTATCAAAAGGTACTTTTTGGTTTTTTTTTTATATAAATATTTTGGGGTTTCCAGTGGGGTGTTCTTGTTTTAGTTCCCTTCTGCCTTGAGTTGCATGCCTCCTGTTACCACATGGCAGTTCTTGGGTGTTTCCACTCTTCCTAATGGAGAAGAGAAGGACCCTGAAGTAAGGACTGGGAACCCAAGCAAAGAGACTTCCTACAATGGGACCTAAGAATAAAAGTGACTCTGTCACTATGTTTTAAATAGGAAACAAATGCCTACCTGCATAACAAGCAATTGATTCTCACCTTTCCTGCTGCCCACACATTTAAATTCTGCTAGGTTAAGAAAGAAGCTTGATGAATGTTCAAAATGTGACACTTTGGGAGTGAAGGACAGTGGCATCCCGCACTGTGCTCTGTGGTTTACTCCACCAGCCCCTGAATCATTGCAAGAGGCAGGAGGAATTAACACAAGGGGGGGACTAGGGCTCCAACAAGTGTGCCAGATGCTGAATATTTTTCAAGATTATCCTTTCAATCCAGCAGAATTAAGCAGGTAACTACTACAGGCATTACTGACTTGCTTTGCAGGAAGGGAGGCAAAGCTAACCATTGGTTGTTTTATGTTAAAAAAAATAGTGAGTGTTTATTTAGCTTTCCATGGTTTGCTAGAAATGGTTCAGATCATTGGTGTGGATTGGCTTTTTAAATGAAGTCTCCAGTTCGGCTAGGGAATTACCAAGTACACCAGTATGCCACTAGTATCTCAAAAGGAAAAAAAAAAATTTATAAAGAAGCAGCACAAGGACTGCCAGAGCAGCTGTTGAGTTCACTCTTTTGTGAAGCTCAACAAAGGGAGTGTAAAGCAAATGAAAAAAACCAAAGACCTTCACAGTGGCTTTGCTGCTGTTCCTCCATATACTTTCAAGGAGTACCTTACCCTTAATGAGATATATTAGCTGCACTTTGACAACATTTTACAGGCAGAGTAGCTCTTCAATATAGGAAGCTTGCACAAAGAAGAGAACTTTTGTAAACTGGGTTAACATCCGAGATGCAATTTCCATGCTACTGCTCTATTAGGCAACAAGCATATAGATTTTAAATGATTTCCAATAAAGGTTTTGCAATGGCGAACAGATCTGAATGCACATGCAAAGCAACGTCATGCACATACAGAGATGAAAGACTGACGTTTACATAGGTGAAAAAACGCTGATGATGAAGAGTGTTTTTTCCAGGAGACAGGGAGTGACAGGAGGAACACAGAGACAGAACGGGTGCAGAAGGACTTTGTTAAGAAAGGGAAAGAAAAGGAGTGATTGAAATAACAAGAGATATATTAGCACAATAAATTAATGACATAAAACAGATACCTAAAGCTTTGAATCCTTGTCCATGTTTTACTAAAAGTAGCCAAAGACATGAGTTGGTGGTTTTTTGAACTGGCTGGCTTAATCGGGGAGGGTGGGGGAAAGTGACAGGTCGCGCTGAACACTTTCAGGCCAACATTATCCTTTAATAACTATGACCAAGTAAACCTTTGAGGTCAGACATTTGGCAGTTTACACTGTTGAATTGTTATAAAGCCATTAAAGTCATTTTATTTTTGAATTGCTTTGTAAAGTCAGTCTGCATAAAAAAAAAAAAAAACGTGTTCACTTTTTTCTTTTACTTGTGCTCTGGCCCTGGGCCAATTTCTGTTTCTGTCTGTAATATTTTGTAAAGTCTAATAAAAGAAAACTCATCAAAAAAAAAAGAAAAAAAAGAAGAGAGAGAACAAAACAACAAAACATTACCCACTAAACCTGTGGGACATTTGACCATTATTATTGGACTGAAAGTGTGTGAAAATCTAACAGGGATGCACTGATACATATACAAGTACTCGTGAAAATGCTCCCGATACCCGAAACTGATACTTTGCGATTTGCATCAATACAAAATGAATGGGCACAAATTGCACTGCAAAGAATGGCATTTGATTTGAACAGCAATGCAGTGTGATTCCTGTCCGAATCACATGTGGATTCCAGCATTGCTCTTGTGTGAACCCAGGCTGAAATCATCAAGATAAGCCTGGGTTCACCCAAGAGCGGTAGGTAAACCGAATGCGATTCAAACAGGAATTGCACTGTATTGCTGTTCAAATCTCATGCCATTCTTTGCAGTGTGATTTGCGCCCATTCATTTGGTATGGACGCAAATTGCACCGAAAAAGTATTGGTACTCGTTATCGGCGAGTACTTGACCAAAAGTATCGGTACTCTTACTCGCCGATAGCAAAAGGGTATTGGTACATCTCTACTTTAAAGTGGTTCTTCAATCAGCAGCTACAATACTGTAGAAGAGGGGCAGAACTTCCAGTGGAATTGCCCAAGCGATTTGAGCGGAAGTGGGGAGTGGGTACCTGTCAGATCATACTTACCTAGGTGGATGCAGCATCAATCCAATGCTGCATCTGCCCCCGCCGGCTCCAAGGGTGAGAAGTGAGCGATTAAACACTGCTGATCGTTCAGTTCTCCCTGCTGCTCTTAGCAGAGAGCTGGTGACTGTCAGTCACCGCTGTCTACTCTGCACCCCTCCCTCCCCAGTGCTCACTGGAGTGTTGGGCTGTGGAGGGGGCGGGGGCGGCTAACTCGGCATCTCAGCAGACTTTAAAGTTGGGATCTTTTCCCAACCTGGACCGGTCGAATGAAGTCAGCTGACAGCAGACTTTAATCCATTGTCAGCTGAAACCGGGTCACATGAGTGCAGAACAAACTGCAATCCTGTGATCCACAGGAGAAGTACAGCAACACAAACTTTGGCTGTACTTCTCCTTTAAATGGTATTTATTTTGGACACCACTTCCATTTTATCCAAAACTATTTCTTAATTTTAAGAGTACTCATCAGAATTGTAACTACCCTTTAATATTCATCTAGTTATATGGATCCAATACCCAGCTGTCGATCAGCAGATACAAATTACACTAGATTTGATAAATTTGACTAGACTAAGGCTAGTTTTACACTAGCAGCAGTTCTTACAGCCCTTCTGAAAAGCATATGAGGTGGATAGGAGTTTGGCAGGCAGTGAGCAGGCAATATGTCACCCCTTCAGCTCCTATTTTAACCCTGCAAATGCTGCATCACCATAGCACAACCTTGTGCATTACACACAGTTACAGGGTTCTGGCCAGGTCCAATTTACTTGAATGGGTTGTGTTTGGAGATAGTGCTGCCTGCCGAATGCCATGGGAAGATAACACTTGGAAAGGCAAGCATCACAGCCATGGCTGTCCAGCTGCCTTTGCATTTTAAGTGGGAGTGGAAGGAGGCTGTTTTTACCACCAACTGCAAGGGTAAGTCCTAACAGTTTGCTCATGTAACGGTTAAACTAAAATAAATAAGATGTCCCTCAAGCGCTGGATAAACAAGCTCCTGAATTAGTATTTAAATAGTTTATAGAAAGGAAATTAAATAAAATTATGATTTGCCAGACACTCTTTTTTTTCTCTGTAACTAAAAGCAGATAGCCAGGAGACAGAGGTACTGAATGATAAAACATTGCATTATTTCCTGCAATCTGTTTCAATGAAGGAGGTAAAAAAAAATTAAGAAATTTAAACCCGATTGTCTCACCCAGCTAGCTCCAGTGCCTTGAAACAACATAGAGCAGCCTTGCAGTACAGCCCAAGAGGATGTCCAGTTCTTCCTGTAAAAACAATAACAGAAATGTAACAGCATTTTAATGTATTTTACTAGATCGTCAAAATACTAAAATGATGATAATGTTAATAGTCACTAAGCCAGGGAGACCATAATCTAACAACTCAAGACATGATTAGATCACCAAAATCATTTGAAGTACAAATCGTCCACATGTGTATATGTTAAACATTTTGCACACATACATCACAGACAACCAGGGAATTACATGTTTACTTGTGAAGGCAGTTTTTATTATACTAGTTGAAGATTATAATTGTGTTTGTCACTGTATTAGAGCACTTGCAATAACACAGTTGAGTACCATCCATGATACTTTTTTTAATTTGCACTAACTGTTAACTTTTAGGGACAAGCTGTAAGGCTGGGGTATACCCCCATCTTTTCCAATCAAGCAGTACTGATATACAAAGGATTAGCAGAATATTAATAGACAAATTTACAGAAACAAGCATCTCTCACACATAGCACAGCAGTCTTGGTGTCCAGGGTCTGTCACATCCCCTGCACTGTACTCCAATCTATATTGCTCCTGCTCCCCAAGCAGTGCTGTTGTTGAGCACTCTGCAGGTAGCATGTTGGACCATTGTACTCTGTGTAAGAGCGGTGGTCTGGATTTACAGCATGCTGCTAACACAGAGCAGCTTCAGATATTTCTAAATAGTATTACAAAAAAATAAAAATAAAATCAGTTTCTTTACTTTTTTCAATCTGGCTGCATAATAATACAAACCAAGGCATCAACTGGGCCTTAAAGGAAACCCAGTAACATATGTAAGCAGGAGCATAGATAGGGGGAGATGGGGGGGGAGGGTCACTTATGTGTCACACAGCAATTCAGTTTGAGACCTATTCAGGCTTTTACACAGGAGCCTTTACATGAGGTTTAAGGCAAAGCAGTGTTTTCCAATGAAACAGATACTATCCCCTTGCACCATTCCCACTGCAGCTCAGCCACCAAATATGCCAGTATTTCCAGGTATAGAGAAGAATGCAATACCTGCCCTTTACTTTCATATGACAGTGTGGCTATAGGACAACGGAACAAAGTGTCAGGGAAGTAAAAGGCAAGCATGTGCTGCAAAGTAAGTTGGCCAAACAATTGATCATATTGCTTTCCCTTGCATTAGAATATAACAGAACATCTATCATTACATCCTGCTTTGCAGCATTCAGTCAATTTAAAGAGTGACTCTGTCTACAGAAAAATCTGGAAATATACATCTAGGACAATTATTCCAATATAACATTACCGATGATCTACACAGAAAACTGTACTTGCCTAATTTTCTTCCCATTCTCTGTGATTTTAGTCACATTTAACACTCCATACTTTTCTTGATCCTGAAAAATGAGAAAACTTGTGGTTCAATTATTCTGGATTTCAGGCAAAAAAAATAAAAAACATCAAACTATACAGTCTAACATTCATCAAAGCAATGCAAAAAATGCAATGATTGGAAAGTGCAGCGACCCACAACAAAAGATTTCAGTTTACCATTGTCAAACAACAAACTGAGATGCCGATTTGCTCCTCTGGGTATCTGTACTTCACACTGTTTTGGTAAATAAATTGTATAAATGTATTGGTTAAACACGTGTCTGAAAGACAAACCATTCTTAAGGCCCATAGCAACCAGACTACCTCTCAAGTCTCCAGCGCAGAGAGCAGAATGAAAGGCAGGCTCTGGCTTGTTTCACGATATAAGCACCAGGAAGAATTCTTCCAGCAGACACCATTATGCACAAGGTGTGCATAGTACTCCCCTGCTATTCTTGGAAACCCAGGATTTAAATTGTATTTCCATTTTTACAGTCAAAGTTGAGAAAACTTCACTATACAATATGTTTGTTATGTGTTCCTATTCAGCAAGCCTAAGAAAATTTAAAAAATAATATTTTCTACCTTTTGGATGTTTCCGAGGAAACTGTGTCATGGCTGACTGCAAGCATGTCTCTCAGGTATCTCAATGTGATCTGTCTCAATAGCTGGGCTGGGGACTGGCTAAGTCAGGTTCTCACTAATATACAATGGAGAAGCCCAGCTCCTAAACCTTTAACCCTCTGTTAACCACTTCAATACCAAGCACTTTTCCCCCGTCCCTGTCCAGGCCAATTTTCAGCTTTCAGCACTGTTGCACTTTGAATGACAATTGCACGGTCATGCAACACTACAATACTGTCACCAGTCACTGTCCCTGATCATCGCTACACCATTTATATGATGACGCTGTACTTCACTACTGACAGCATGTACAATTTTTTTTAAAAATTGTGAAAAAAAAAACACAAAACTTTTTTTTTCATTTTCCAAAGAATTTAGACAAAAATGTACAACTTCAAAAAACTCATAATGCCTCTTACTAAATACCTTAGACTGTCTACTTTCCAAAAAGGGGTAATTTGGGGATTATTTGCACTGGCCTGACATTTTCAGGCCTCAAGAAATGAGATAGGCTGCCAGTACATCAGGACTGATTGATTTTCAGATAAATATACTATAGTTTGTGGATTCTATAACTTTCTTACAGACCAAATAATTTACATTAATTTAATATATACAAAGAAATGTCGCAGAATACATTTGGGCCTAAATTTATGAAGAACGGTTATTTATTTGCAAAATGTTAAAACAGAAACTAAGAAAAATGCACCCCCCCCCCCCCCCCCCCCCCCCCCCCCCAAAGTTTTCAGTGTTTATCCAGCAAATTTTTTTTTAAAAAAAAAACAGCAGTAATTAAATACCACTAAAAGAAAGCTCTATTTGTGTGGAAAAAAAGTAATTTTTTTAAATTTTTTTTTTATTATTACATTTCTTTTTTTTATACATACAATGACCAGAGAACTACAGTGTTACTATGGTAACACTGTATTTCATACCATAGTAACACTGTACTTCTATGGGGAGGTGAAAAGGATTTTTTTTTTTTTTACACACTGAATTTTACAGTTTAAAGAAAACATTTTTTCCTGAGAGAAAAATAGTCATTCAGTGTTTACAATTGTGATTAGCAGTGATTGGCCACAACTAATCACATGGTACAGATGGGCTGTGATTGGCCCTGTTTGTACCATATGATCCCTGTGACCAATCACAGAGCTCATCACAATAGTACACAATGAAAGGCATGAATCAAAGCCTTTCATTGTGTACCATTGTCATATGATCTGCTGTGACTGGTCACAGCTATCATGTGGAACTAGCTAAGGGCCGGTTCAGTGATCTGCCATCAGCTGCGCCCAGTGGACACAGCTAGTTTCAGATTGCGCCGGAGCGTGGTCCATGACGCACGATCCTGGGAGGACGTCAGATGAGTGGTTAAGTAAGACGTTGTTCAAATTTAGCACTATGGATAATATATCTGCCTCCAGAAAGGGTTAATTATGGTAAACACAGAAGCACTTCATGACAAACCCAGCCCACCTCATAAGAGAATTAAGAGTTTTACCTTGCTAGATGTTCCATAACGGAGCATCTAAAAAAAAGTTGTATTTATAATTTTATTTTTAAACTTTGCTATCTGAATGGGGAAAGGTAACAAATATAAAGTAGGTATTATCCCAATTTGACAGCAAAAGTGGAAACTAGAGATGTGTAGCCAAAAGTATTTGTTTTTCCATTTTTAGATCAAATAGGGAAGAATTAGTTTGCATTAAAAGTTTTAATTGCTGTTTGTGTGCCGGCTAGACAGATTAACCCTCTCCACTTCGGTCATAAAATACCAAACTTATGGGAAATTCAAAATTTTAGAGTTGTCATCAAAACAAGAGGTGAGGGTTAACCTTCCAGTGGGGAGACCCGTTACATTGACAACTGTATAAAAAAAAGAATTACACTCACTTTATAGAGCTTTCTTATCGCTTCCTGTCACGTGTCTGGGACAGGCAGTGATGGGAAATCTCTCAAAATGACACAGACAATTCAAAAAAAAACGTTTTGGCTGTACACACACTTTAAACATGTGACGCAAGCTTTGTATTTTCCCTAAAAATATCACTTGTAAGGACCTATCCTAAATACAGAGTAGCGTTCTTGTCGCATAAGAAATAGGGAGGGGATTTCAAGGTGGGACACTAACTGAATAAAACTGAATGAAAGGCTCAGTGCAACAGCATGAGCATAGAAATCTACTCTGCCGATTATTGTATTGTGACAGTCAGCACCCATGTCTGATGGAATTCAGTCACTGTTCGTCTGACAATTTTCCACTCAGCGATTTCGACAAAAGTTGACTGAAAAATCAACTTTTGTCAAACTGGGTAGCGCTGACTTTTGCCAAGCCATGTATGGCAGGTTTTGGATTGGAAAAGAAAAAACGCATATTTAAATTTATAAGAACACATATATATGCAATTCCAAAGACTTCACAAAGGGGAAGGAGAGAAATGTATAGAATAAGGAAGATTATAATTAAAAGGTTTTTTTTTTTGTTTTTTTCCCCCCAGTAAGTATAGTGAAGTTGGCATGGTCTGCAATACGTGGTACTAAGGGTTTAATTAATAACACATTTTAAAATAAAAATGGATGATGGGTCCAAAAACTTTAGTTACTAGAGGATAGAATGCAACTATTTTGATCCAGGCAACTGATCTCCAACACCCCTGTGGGGACAGGAACAATTTTTGAATGAGGTCACACGGGATATTTTTGGTCTTGCTCTGGACCTAATTTACTGGAGTTCATGAGATGCTGAGATTGATACACATTTCTCTTTCTTCAGCCTGTTGGGAATGCAACAGCATGTACTATAATGTACTATATATAGTATTGTGTGTTAATATCACTTGACCAGTAGATGGCACTGTACGCTAAAGGTTACTAGTTGTGTATGTGTAAAGCTTGCTGATACTTTCTTCTTCTCTATCATCTCTTCAGGAAGTAATGAGTCTGTTATACAGTCTGCTGCAATGTGCTCTGTATGTTTGTAACTTAAGCCACACAAGTAAAGCCTGAATTCTGCTATCACTACCAGTGTCTACTCTAACACATAACCAACACAGCCCAGGTAACTCCCATCCATTAGAACATATCAGAGAAATGTTGCTGTTGTTTTATCCATGTTAAATGAGAAATATCCAAACATAAAATGTTAGGCACATTAAAAGTTTCACAAAACATGACTGCACTTCATCCTAACTAGCTTTAGTTGATAGATGGAAAAGAATATCTAAAGCTCCTCTGTTATTGTCATAAAAAAAAAAAAAAAAAAAAAAAATCACTAACCGTGGATTGGTGCTTTGGAGAAGATGGGGAGGTCTCAACCTCAGGGAAATGTTTGGATGGCGTTAATTCCTGAAACAAAAAGTTAGATTTTGGATTAAGCACAACAATATTTTGAGAGAAAGGGATTCACATATTGCATATGCCCATCTTTGTTTAAGAGACGACAATCTTAACTTATCATGGGAGAAACAGGTAGGCTGCTACTGCTGACATCTCCTTTTGGGAATGCCAGTTGCCTGGCTGTCATGCCAATAATTTTGCTTCAGTACTTTCTTACTCACCGACCCAGAACAAGTGTGGAGATAAGCAACTCTGACTTTTTACCTACCGTCATTGACTGCATGCTTGTTCCAGGTCAGTAACAGAATAGAAGCCAAACACGGCCAGTCAACAAGCGTCTTACGAAACAAAAATGCTGTAGCACCTCCCATAATCCTCACATGACAGGTGTGCTTCAAAGGCATGCTTAAACGAACACAGATACAGATCTGATCAAATGTATTTTACCTACTTGTTTGCTAGGCATCCTGAAAACTGGTGCAGAAAAGTTACAACAAAGCACAGCAACCAGATTTCAAACACAAACAAATCAGAATCATACATATTCTGATTGCCATCAGGGGAATTTTATTAAAGAATATCTAAAGTGAAAGCTTTTTTGTTTTGGATAGAATATGGAATGGTTAGGACACCTTGCAGGTTTTTTTTATTGTCTGTGTCCCATTAGGGAAACTTTCCTTTACGTCTTAATTCAAGGCAGCAGCAAGTGAGGGGAGAACTTTTGTAGGTAAAGGAAATCTTCTCTTATGGTGGCCATGCACAAAACGATTTTATATACAATTTTACTGTGGATCGGTATACTGTGCAAGAGAAAAATACGAACAGAAGATTGAAAACATTGTTCGATGCGCAATACACCTAATAATCATATTGCTTTATCAGCTTTCCTATGACTGTATATTCCATTCAGACCAATCAGAATATTTTCAATTGAATTAATCTGTTTTGCTCAGAATTAATCGGTGACACAGTATGTGTCTATTTGATAACTGATAGATTCAATTTTATTGTTCACTTACTAAGAAATGTTTGACCAGATCATTAAATGCATGGCCACATTAGGCAGTTGTCACCAGAACCAATAAGTGTTTTTTATTCCTAAGGAATAGGTCTTGGACTGTCCCCTTTGGTTCCTTGTCTGTTCATATGACCCTTGGTTTGTGAGTATACATATGTCTATTTTTTAATAAATTCTTTTTTATGGTAATGCACGAGGAGAGTGTGCCTTTTTTGTGTTTTCTTCCAGTAGTATCAAGATTTCCCGATCTTTAGAGGGCTGCACCTCAGCAAGTGACAGATACCGTGTTCCTGTGGTGCATGATGACCCAAGTGCTGGTTTTGCTTTTCTTGATGTTTTGTATTTCTAACACTACTGACAATTCAATATTTTTAGATTTTCCCATAACTAAGTCTCGGTGACAATGATCAGCAAGACCAACAAAAAGGGGAATCTCTGCAGAGGGGACGTAACCAGCAATTATAACCCGACAAGTTTCTAACCTTCCATGCTCTACTCAAAATTAAAAAAAAAATTGACTTTAGATAAACTAACAAAAAACTAAAAAGAAGAAAAAACAAATATACACTCCAGTTATTTGCAAATCAACCAAAAAATTTTTAGTAATGTTAAATATGAACAAATTAAAAAAAATTAAAAAACAACAAAAACAGCAAAATATACAGAGACCGATCGATTTCTGTTTTACATTTAACATGTAGTTTTTACACTGTTTTGGGAAAGACAAGAAAATAACATTAATAAAAACAGAAAGAAAAGTACCATTCAGAAAAAAAAAATCTTTATATGAATTCTGATTCCAGAACTCTATACTTGTGTTCATTGTGAAAGTTGGTATACTTTTTGGGTATTACATTTTTTTTGTTTCATTTTTATCAACACCCTTCACTGCATCACTAATGACCTAAATGCCGCTCACTTGCGTCTCTGCCCTGTTCTGTTAATATATGCAGATTTTAACTCAAATGTTAAGACAAAGCAATCTTAACAGTCTTAACAGTCTTAGAAGGGCTAAAAATACTTACCTTTCCTGAAGGAAATTCTACTTCCAGCTCTTTACAATACTTATATGCTTAACCAAAAGCTAGACTTCCCACCTCACCTGAGATCATGCAGTCAAATGCTTAAACTTTTGGTAATGTAAGCAGGACTGGACAAAGCCTGGAACAGCATTTTCTTCAGTATTTCAGCTTATTTCAGTTAGACTTTCAGAAAACCTTTTAATCTTTTTAAGCAGTCCTACTTAATGTCTCCCAACTTCTAAAATGCTGCACATACATTCAGAAATCTGTAGTTCAAGTTTCTGTGTGTGGCCACTCCTCCTCACTAGTGCTTCAAAGGCTAGGTTCATTAAAAACACACACACACACACACACACACACACACACACACACACACACACACACACACACACACACACACACACACACACACACACACACACACACACACACACACACACATATTATATATATATATATATATATATATATATATATATATATATAAATATACATACACACACACACATAGTAATGAAGTAATACATAATAATAGAAACTAAGAAAAACAGGGTTTTTTTTTTTTTTTTAATTTTCAAAATTCTTGGGTCTTTTTTTGTTTGTTTAGCAAAAAATAAAAACTCCAATGGTGATTAAATACCACAACAAAAGCTCTAATTGTGTGGAAAAATATTACATTTTCATATGGGTACAGTGTTGCATGACCGCGCAAGCTGAAAATTGGCCAAGGCAGGAAGGGGGTAAAGGTGCCCGCTAGGCAAGTGGTTAAAGTAAAAAAAAAAGTTTTGATTTTGGATAGAGCAAGGGAGGGTTATAACCCCCAATCAGATTTTACATTTTTTGCCATCTCTGTCTCATTGTGGAGATTACCCTTCACTTCATGTTAAGTAGCCAAACAGGAAGTGAGAGGAAATCCTTGCAAATTAAAAGGAATTCCTTGGGGACCACCAGATCACCAGAACTAGTGTCCCCATTGGAAGATTTGGGGGACAACCTAACATTTGGGATTTTTTTTCACTATTAATGATAATGGTAAACAGGACAAATAGAGAGGGTGAAGCGCCTTAATGATTCAACAGACAGCAATTAAAAGTGAGAAGCGTTCTAATAACTCTCAACTCTATCCAAAACAAAAAAAAAAATTTGCCTTTAGTTATACTTTAACCATTTCCCTCCTGCCTGCAATGTATTGTGGAAGGGCGGCAGCTACAGGCAAAGCGACATACGGGTATGTTGCTCTAGCTATACTAAACACAAAGGGTGCTGCATACCCATGCAGCACTCCCCACCCACGACTGCTGTGTCCGGTGGACACAGCGGAATGAAGTTCCGAGTGAATGGAACCTGTGATCATGTGATCACTATGCGATCACATGATCACAATGTTAGCAAAGCTGTTATGAATAAATGTGATTCATAACCGCTCTGCTTTTCTTCCTAGTGAGCTGTGATTGAACCACAGCTATCACATGATACATGGGGCCAATCAACGCACCCTGTACCATGTGACCAGCTCCATCCAATTACAGATCACTATCTTGAGTGGTCAAAAACCTAACTCATTCATTACAGTTCATGAATGAGTTAGGCTCATGACAGCAAGCTTTCCATTGCAGGGGAAATCTTTATTTCTCCTGCAAAGTGTTAAAAATAAATAAATAAATAGATCCCCCCCTCCCCACCCCCCAGTAGTACAATGTTACTATGGTAACATTGTGCTATTCTGATAAAAGTATTTAAAAAAAAATTAAGACCCCAGCGGCTCTGGGCACAGCGACGTAATCTTATGTCGCTTTCTATTTCAGGGTGTGAACCCCCCCCCTGTCGGTCCAGGGAGAGAATACCACACCAAGTAAAAGCACTACATTTCACACACATGTTTGATTAGCACATTTATCCCTTTGATGACCCCTATTAACCTTTGATCGGCCTGTCACCCAGCCAGTGCCATTAGTACAGTGTCAGTATTGAATTTTTCACTTACCACTGTATTCCTGCCACTAGCGGCATCAGATAGCGTGAGGGTCAGTTAGCACCCCTCCCAGCCAGGGTCAGCTAGTGTTCGATTGACTGCACACTATCGCACTCACACTGTAGGTCATTGATCACCGCCATTACTAGTATAGTGTTTGTATGGATCAATATAATGATCATGGACAGAACTATACTAGTGCCTGCTTTGTATAGTGTCCCCAAAAATGCAATGTTAGCAGGATCGACCCCGTTTGCTGCTAGCATTAGCGCTTAGTCCCTCCGCTATTTTTCACTGAAGATTTGTACCAATTGATTGTGGGCCAAGGCAATTTATATGCACAACAATACATCGCTGCCCACCCAAATTCAACTCTTGCCAGACAATCTGCATGGAAACCTATCACAGTTTCTGAATTTAAAAAACTTTTTGGGCCTAACCCTCAACATGGGCATTACAAAAAAAGAATAAATTGTGGTCATATTGGTCCACAGACCCAATTCATCATACAGTGGGGATCGAAAGTTTGGGCACCCCAGCTAAAAAATTGTATTAATGTGCATAAAGAAGCCAAGGAAAGATGGAAAAATCTCCAAAAGGCATCAAATTACAGATTAGACATTCTAATAATATGTCAACAAAAGTTAGATTTTATTTCCATCATTTACACTTTCAAAATAACAGAAAAGAAAAAAAGGCGTCTGCAAAAGTTTGGGCACCCTGCAGAATTTATAGCATGCACTGCCCCCTTTGCAAAGCTGAGACATGCCAGTGTCATGGATTGTTCTCAATCATCGTCTGGGCAGACCAGGTGATAATCTCAAAGGTTTTAAATGCCCAGACTCATCTGACCTTGCCCCAACAATCAGCACCATGGGTTCTTCTAAGCAGTTGTCTAGAAAACTGAAACTGAAAATAGTTGACGCTCACAAAGCTGGAGAAGGCTATAAGAAGATAGCAAAGCGTTTTCAGATGTCAATATCCTCTGTTCGGAATGTAATTAAGAAATGGCAGTCATCAGGAACAGTGGAAGTTAAAGCAAGATCTGGAAGACCAAGAAAAATATCAGACAGAACAGCTCGCAGGATTGTGAGAAAAACAATCCAAACCCACGTTTGACTGCACAATCCCTCCAGAAAGCCAGAAAGATCTGGCACACACTGGAGTTGTGGTACACTATTCCACTATAAAGAGATACTTGTACAAATATGGTCTTCATGGAAGAGTCATCAGAAGAAAACCTCTTCTACGTCCTCACCACAAAAATCATCGTTTGAACTTTGCAAATGAACATATAGACAAGCCTGATGCATTTTGGAAACAAGTTCTGTGGACCGATGAGGTTAAAATTGAACTTTTTGGCCGGAATGAGCAAAGGTACGTTTGGAGAAGAAGGGGCACAGAATTTAATGAAAAGAACCTCTGTCCAACTGTTAAGCATGGGGTTGGATCAATCATGCTTTGGGGTTGTGTTGCAGCCAGTGGCACAGGGAACATCTCACGAGTAGAAGGAAAAATGGATTCAATAAAATTTCAGCAAATTTTGGATGGTAACTTCATGCCATCTGTGAAAAAGCTGAAGTTAAAGAGAGGATGGCTTCTACAAATGGATAATGATCCTAAACACACCTCGAAATCCACGGGGGATTACATCAAGAGGCGTAAACTGAAGGTTTTGCCATGGCCTTCACAATGTCCTGACCTCAACATAATTGAAAATCTATGGATAGACCTTAAAAGAGCAGTGCGTGACAGACAGCCCAGAAATCTCAAAGAGACTGGAAGACTTTTGTAAGGAAGAATGGGCAAAGATACCTCAAACAAGAATTGAAAGACTCTTGGCTGGCTACAAAAAGCGTTTACAAGCTGTGATACTTGCCAAAGGGGGCAGTACAAGATATTAACTCTGCAGGGTGCCCAAACTTTTGCAGACGCCATTTTTTTGTTTTCTGTTATTTTAAAATGTAAATGATGGAAATAAAATCTAACTTTTGTTGACATAATATAAGAATGTCTAATCTGTAATCTGATGCCTTTTGGAGATTTTTCCATCTTTCCTTGGCTTCTCTATGCACATTAATACAAATTTTTAGCTGGGGTGCCCAAACTTTCGATCCCCACTGTAGCACTAGACCTCCTGTGTAAATATAAATTGTTGACCTGTAAAGGCTTTCAAAGAGTCGCCTAGCGATATTAAAAAATGTATATACTTTATCGCCATTGCACGGGCATGCACAATTTTAAAACATGTCATGTTTGGTATCCACTTACTCGGCGTCACATTATCTTTTATATTTTATCAAACACATGGGCAATATATATTAGTGAATTAAAATTCTAAGTGTATTTTCCCAAAAGATTTGCGCAAATGGAATCGCTGCGCAAATGGAACTAGCACAGGGTGGTTCGACAAGTTTCAAACCTTCCATCCGGTTCTGGGACAATTAACACCTACAATTTCCATGGTGATAAGGTTTTAAGGTGAGAATATAAATGTGGGGCATCTTTTTAACACCCAATGAAACTGAAGAGGCTTGGTAAGCTAAGAAAAATCTTCAATATTACAGAGCAACTCCAGTTGCTCTGTAATGTTGCTATTGTACTGTACACGCATTAACTGCATACAGTTATCTGCATATTATATATTTTTTTAGCTATAATGGTCCAGTAAACCCATACAAAACATTTTTATTGCAAGTCCACAGCACTTTTCTTTCTGTACAAAGCAGACAGACAAGGAAATTCACAGATCTGAAGAATCCTCGGAATGTGGATGTGTGTTGGCAAGCAAGCACAGACCAGACTCAAAATACTAACTTTTTCTGTGAAAGGTAGAGTCAAAAAACCAGGGATAGGCATATAACACTCTGTGGAATTACGCTTTTGCTTGATAAGTAACTGTAAAATATAAAATTTACTCATTAATTCCACTGGCATCTTCTGCCTTGATGCTACAGCACACTGTGAAATATGAAAATAATGATTGCAAATTACCACTACAGGTTTATTTCAACGTTACTCATTCAGCACAATAAAGGCTTATTTCATCGTAGGATAGCCTTGGCAGGTGATTTATGCAGCGATAACAGAACCGAGTTTGCAGCTGAACGGATGATAGAGCCTTCATGTTTATTCAGCGTCTGCTCAGAACTGCTGAACTGTCAGTATGTTACATTGGTCTAATACACAGTGACACAGGCAAAACCGTTACCTTATCGTTGGCCTCCAGTAGATATGTGCTGTGTCGCCACTTTGTTAAAACAATTGGATCCTGGAACTTTCGATCAAGACTCCGACTTTTAGTGATTTCTCTTGGATGAGGAGGTGCTAAGGAGTTGTACTAAAAAAACAAGAAAACAAACAATCAGCCATGGCAGATAGAAGATGACCTAATTAGCCAAAGGTATTAAAGCTGAACTCCAGGCAAACAGCTAAAGACACAGATGAAATACATAAAAAAGAGCATTTTTGTTTTTTATCTGCCAACTGATGTGAATTTAGATTTGAATTGTATTTTTGCTTTATAAATCAATCTTTCTGAAGATCAGCCGCTCGCCAGTTTGACCTACTAGCTCCCATAAAAGTAATCACAGTGTAATTAAACTGCCAAAGAGCCAAGATCAATTTATTGCTCCAACATTAGAATGAACACTCCACCCAGGTCCTCTTTCTTACATATTTCACCCCAGTGGAGTTTAACCATGTCACCCCCTTCCTGCCCTGGCCAATTTTCAGCTTTCAGCATTGTCGCACTTTGAATGACAATTGCACGGTCATGCAACACTGTACCCAAATGAAGTTTTTATCATTTTATTTTTTAACAGATACAGCTTTCTTTTGGTGGTATTTAATCACCGCTGGGTTTTTATATTTTCCTAAAGACTAAAAAGTTTTGGGGAAAAAACAAGTTTTTCTTCATTTCGGTTATAAAATGTAGCAAATTAGTAATTGCTCCTCTTCACTGATGGGTGTTGATGAGGCTCCACTAATAAGGAGGCACTGAAAGGCACTTATAGGTGGCACTGATGGGGTTGCACTGATCATCAGGTCGCTGATGATCAGTGCCCTGATTATCAGTGTAAATGTGTCCTGTAAGGATTGCTGTTTATCGGCTCTCTTTCTCACACACAATGACAGCACGTGAGGAAAGGAAATGCCCATAACTGGCAAGTATGTTTACATGGTATCAGCTGTGATTGGACACAGCTGATCACATGGCAATGGGCTGCTGTGATTGGCCCTTCACCTTGAGAGCGTCTATAGAAAAAGAGAGCAATGCTGTAGGCTATGATGCACTAATGAGTCGATTAAAGTGGTATTCAACCCAAAAACAAACATTATATTGCAGCTTACCAATTCTTATATGTGATGGCTGCTTTCATTTTCTTTTTTAGGCTTTCCTTTATTTTCACCTGAAGATCTAGCCAGTACTTCTGATGTTTTTCAAAAGAACAAGCTGTCCTGCAGCTGTAGCAGTTAAAGGGTTAAGACAAACCATTTACCACTGACAGGCATGTTTAAAATGATCAGCTTTTATTTAAGTAAAACAAATTAAAAAAAAAAACCCAAAAAACTTTTTTTTAACTGCTTATCAGGTATTAGCTGGAGTTTGCCTTCAATTTGCTAGTGTATTTAAATCTGCTAGCACATCTCCTCTCCTCCCCTCATATTGATAATGCTGCTGTTCAAAGGTGTCTCTGTTGCACCTTCATCCAGAGTGTAGGCACTCTAATACAAGAGGTATGTCACTGACCAGATCACCAGGTGAAAAACAAAACAAAAAAAAAAAGAAAAAAAGAAAACAAATGCAGCCACTGCATCTGATGATTGGTACGATACAACATACTGCCTTTTTGGTTTTGGCCTTAATACTGCTTTAACTGTAGAATGACTAAGCTTGGGAGGAAAGTGCAACAAAAGGAAGAGCTGGGTGGGGTGTTCTCTCTCTGTTGTGCTGGAACAATAAAGTTGATTTTAGCGCTTTGGAAACACCAGCGTGTAGCTTCATTACACAGTAATAACAGTAGAAAGTGATGAACTGGAGAGATGCAGGAACCTGAGGCTGGCATGTTTACAGTGGAGAGACGTCATAGAAGTGATGTGGCACAAAGTTGCCTTCAAAGTACATCTAAACCCAATCACCAGAATCTCGTATAAGCTTTACACACAAATCTCATTTTTAAAAGTTGTTTCTAGTTGAGTTTTTTTTTTTTCTTTGAGGAAATCTGCAGCTTTCTTAAAAAAACCAAACAAACCCTGGTACATCTGGTACTCCTGCATTGTCACCTTGTCACATGCACCCGTGACTAAGACTATAAGTGATTAAGCCAACACACCTTGCACAGGCATGGGCCACCATTGGCAACTAACCCATGAGCCAGTGCATGCAGACAGAAAATGAGTAAAAAGGCTGAAGGAGATCAGGGGCATGAAGATTAAAAAGAAAAAAAAAATATGAAGCAAAAAGCTATGTCAGATACTTCTGATTCACAGTGCTTTAGTAAACGAGCGGTCTTCCAGTTTGGATTAGACCAAAGTTTAATATCTATAGACACCACTGATATATTTGCTATTCATGAAAAGTTGTTCAAGGAAAAGCCAATTGCTTACAATACCTTTGGCAGCTCCCACTCAGAGCGTGACCCGTCAGCACTGTAGTAATATGGCCTGCCTTGCTCGTCCACGTGTTTTATCCACTGTAACAAAAAAAGCCAGTTAGGAAACTAAAATCACATTTAACCTGGATAACTTGGTGTATGTAGGGGTTGCAGCTGTTTTTAGGTTGAATATTCAATATATTCTGAAAATGAGGAGAGGTAAAATCACTAGCCAAGCTAGGAATCCAATAGAACCTCTAATTTCTAGTCAACGGCATTTTTAAAACTTAGATATTCATGACAACTGCCATAATGTATCAGTGAGTTAACCCACTCCGTTGTGATGTGCACGTTGTATGTGCGGACCCTGGAAAACAGATGACCTGCTGCTCCCCAGTTTCGGTTAGCAAGTAAACTGAAAAGAACAAGAATTGAACTTTTATTTAGCTGCAGAGGGTGTGTTGGGGGTCATGGGACAGTCAAAATAAGAAAAAACTAATAAGAATTTACTGTACTCAATATATCCTACTATAATATAGAAGTCTATATCTACCTTTATAAGGTTTCTGACATCACAGGGGCCATGGACCTTCGTCCATTAGATAAAAGTAGGAATCACATTGGATCTGGCTTATCTGATGACTGTAGGAAAGCAAATGCAAGCTCCCTGCTTGCACTGTATGGGGTCCAATGAATCCTTTTACTTGGTAGACTGGAAATATACAGTACACCTGGTAATCAGATTTTGTTCTGATGAATTTCTGGCACAGCAGATTTTGTGTTCTTGCTCACTATTAATGAGCCACTCATAATCTGTGTACCAGATTCTAAACACCTAGCTGGCATAAAATGCACAAGCAGCTGCTTTAATGGCCCTCTCTAAAGCTCACTATACATGTTCCAATCTGACTATACAATCAACGTTAGATTTATCAAATGGAGAAATATGAGGGCATACTTAAACTATTCATTCAATCTGCATCCAACCAGGCAGGCAGTTGCACTCTATAGCTGTTGGTAGATATAATGGAGATTGTACAGCCAGAGTGTAATTCTGTGTGGTAAGCGTAAAGCCTAAGTTAAAAGGAGAAGTTAACTTTTTGCTAAAAAATAATGAATGCACATTTTTTTGCAGGTAAAAAAAATAATGAATGCACATTTTTTTGCAGGTAAAAATATAATGAATGCACATTTTTTTGCAGGTAAAAAAAATAATGAATGCACATTTTTTTGCAGGTAAAAAAATAATGAATGCACATTTTTTTTGCAGGTAAAAAATGTGCATTTATTATTTTTTGTTGCAGCAGCCTGTAAACCATTACACCAGTGATCAGCAGATTACTGGTGCCATGCAGATCTCCTGCAGACCTGTCAGTATATCTGCTTGCCCATACGTGATGTATTGCCAAGCAGATACACACTGACAGGAAGAGTCAATGAACTACCACGGCGCTCCAGAGCACCGTGGTAGTTCATTGAGAACTACAAGCCAACAACCACTAAGAGACTTGTAGATTCTCATTCACAGAGGACTGCCCCACATGGTCACTTTTTTTTAAATTTGACAGCTAGAAGGAGAAGAAGATCCCCCACTAGCTGTCAAAGCGAGGGAGCGGGGGCCGGTCTATTCATAACATGTTACACCCTGAAGATGAGTGTAACATGTAATGAAAGGTAAACTTTTCCTTTAAGTTTAAAAAAAAAAAAATCACTCTCAATGCAAGGTGTCCCTTGTGCCGCTTGCTCCTGCTTAGTTAAAATTCTCCTCCAACCCAACCTCCACCCCTACCGCCATACCTTTCCAGTGCAGCAGGGGTTAAAGCCGTAGTATAGTCCACTATGCAACTTATACCTACAGGTAAGCTTACCTGAAGGCAAAATCAATATCCCCAAAACCATTTAGGAAATATTCTAGTGAGCAGCAGCCAGTGATGCCACCGACGCATGCGCTGTTAAGGGATGACATACTAATGGGGGGACCCCCTTTTTATTTTGGGTTAATTTTACTACCGCTTTAATAGAGTTTAGGGCTTTAATGGAGAATGAAATGTCTGCCTCATCCACTCATATATCATTTTTCATTCATGGAAAATATAATACAGCTTCTATGAATGGAAGAGGTAGGCTGAAAGGGCATGCATAGTCGGCCACACTTTACTGCCTGTTACAGGTAATCGGGCTCTATTAACCCTTACTGCACCACAAAACTGTGGTGGCGGAGGCAGGGGGGAATCGGAGGAGAAAGATTTTATTCTGAGATCAAAATCCAATCTTTATACAGTAGCAGAGAAATAACAGAGTAGGAATGGTATCAACAGGACAAAAGGCAACAATTAACGTATGAAATGATAATAAAAGCAAGCAAGAGAATCACAGATCTACCTTCTCATTGGTTTGGTCATTAATAAAGAAGGTATGGCCATGCTGATCCAGTTCTTCTGACCAGCCCTTGGGAGGAGAACCGTATTGAATATCTGATTGGTTTTCAAATGTGCTGTGATAATTTTCTTCAGATGAAAGTTGCTAGAAAGAGTTAGAAAAATTTGAGCTCACAAAGAAAAAGTGATTGCCACATGATAGGAAGCATTCTAGATTACACATCTCATCTTCATTGGATCAGAAATTTAGGAAGCAAAGGAGGAAAATGGATCACCGACTAAACACGTGATTGAAAAGCTAAAAAGGTTCACAAGACAGCTTCATTGAAAGTATGCTAAAGACTACTTTCCATGGCCAAGGCAGCTGTGATTGCTTTCCACTTTTGCTTACTGCTACAAAGTGACAGGATGAACAGGATATCTGGTTTCAACATAAGGATTTTAAACAGATAACATGCGACACTTTCACAATGAAATTCTGAAAATCAGAAAAAATGAACACCTAAAACTTATACTTTGGGCTTCTTAAAATATTGAGTACAAAGCCAAATCATTTAAAATTAAAAAATATATATATAACTTTCTAACTCACTTCTGATTCCCTTGATGGTGTCAATGGATTATCAGACCTAACATGTGACTGTGAAAAGGTTTTATGCCTTAACCACTGGAGTCTCCCTTGCAGTTCTTTGCCCAGCACTTTAAATTGATGCGGCTGCTGAGGGTCTGGCAGGTGTTTGTGTTCTAAGCAGTCAGGGCCAAGCCGGGTCCAGCATTCAGTATTTCTGATATGAGCAAATACAGAGGCGTCCTGCCTGCCTCTGCAGCAACAGATCATTGCAATAGTGACAGAAAGCAACAAATCATTAATAGTGTGATTGGTTGCTTAAGAGGAATATTACAGGGGACTGAACCAGGCAGGGGGTCCTGATTCAACCCCCATAGGGAATACAAGTGACCACCTTCTCCCAATTCAATGTGTGAACATCCATACACATGAAAGCACGTGCAATGACATGACCGATGGATGTCTCAACGAACCCTACTCAATCTTAACTCTGCAACGAACACAGGAAAAAAAAATCTAAAATGTTTGCTGCAAAGTAACATTGAAAAGGGAAGAAATTAAGTCTATGGCCAAAGAAACACTGCGCTGCACCCACGGTGTGGGCAAACCGCAGCACATCAGTGTGAAAGCAGACCTGTACTATTATGCCCAGTGTATTGCTTCACACTGACCTGAAGATCTCTTCTTTCCTGTTGCTAGCACCACTCTGGAGACCGCTATCTTGGATAAGAGGTGGAGTGCAGTTGCAGTCCAACTTTAGAAGTAGTCCCTCTGATTTGCAATCTGTATGATGCTCTGGGATGGGGGGGTTGGCAAGCCCAGATTGCAATCTACCAGTCACCTGGCCATGATCTACAGGTTGCTGACCCCGCGTTAATTGAAATCTCTTCAAGCAGTCTGCTGATGCCATCAGAACCCTCATATATTTGATGCAGCATCATGTTCAGTGGTCCTTTACGCAAATAAAACACACGCGTTGGCGTTTGATCAGTGTGATTTTTAAAAGACTAATCCCAGATATGTACAAGGCATTCCTTTGTTTGATTTATCCTGCACATTTGACCACACCAGATTAAACAACACTATTAGCTAGAATGATCTCACAGGTGACTCAACAAACTAGAAGCTGAATTCAGTTAAATGCTTCAGAATCTTAGGACTTGCACACACAAGAAAAAATCCCTATATGAGGGAATTTCACTCATGAGTAACTCTTATAATGAAAGTCTTGAAAGGGCAAACAAACCGTTTAAAAAAGACAGCGGAAGTACACATATAGGAAATGTTTCATCTGCTAATAGATTTGTACCTCACCCTTCTACTCATCTATAGAGCAGGAACATCCACTGCTAGACTCTTTTGCACGTATTTAACACGGTTTGTAATATGCCTTGCACATTCTGGAATGGGGATTTTTACTTGTACGAATAAGACCCACTAGGGTTAATGCACACTGGCACAAAATATGATTCAGATCTGTAATGTGTATTTTCTTTTTTATTTATACAAATGTGCACTAATTCTATGGGACCACAAACACCGCTTGGCAATGGGCAATCATGGTGCTGTGTATGGACAGATTTTTACACTGTACGCAAGTAGATTTTTGTGCTAAATGTATTCCACTGGCTGCCCCAGCTGCTCAAGGCCAACATGTATATATCTACAATATACACATTGTTGATGTATGTCGGCCTTGAATGGCATCTGTGTCCTAGCAAATAAAGATGCTAAGCAGCAGTACCTACATGTACCCTATCAACTAAGAACAGCAGATGGCAGGAGTCCCCTGCATCCTAGCAACCCAAGTTGCTAGATGGCAGGGGATGCCTGCATCCCAGCAAGTAGGGACACTAAGCTACAGGAGCCACCTTTGTTCTATCTACCAAGGACACTAGATAGCAGAAACCACCTTTGTCCCTGCAGACAAGAACACCTGGACGCAGGAGCCACCTGCATCCTAGCAACCAGGGAAGCTAGGTGGCAAAAGACACCTGTGTCCTAGCAACCAAGGATTCTAGGCAGCAGGAGCTACCTGCATCAGCAAGACCAGGAATAGAGACCCCCCCATGGCGTCCTAGATACCAGGGACGCTAGGCGCTAGAACCACCATGGTATCCTAGCAAACATGTATGTAAATGTTAAACACATGTAAAGACAGCACAAACATTACATGTGTGCAGACATTTTTTGTGAGAAAGCCAAATATAAGATCCCACCTAAAATCACAAGCCCTGTGTGCATGAGTCCCTAAATGATGTTCAATGATGACTCTAACAGTTAAAGTATGTCTAAAGACAAAACTTTTTTTTTAAGCTTTAAACAGAGTGGTAAGAGATTAGAACCTTTGTCAGGTAGTTAATACTTTGTCCCCCAGTTAGGGAGGTCTGACCTGGAGACCACTGTTGGCATGAATGAAGGTGAAGGAAATTCCAAAAGTTTGGAACAGAGAGGAAATCATTCAATGGGAACGTGTAGGAAGGTTTATTCAGGTCATGGCATAGCTAGCAGTAATGAGTCACATTCAATTACACTTGTTCTGCAATGTTTAAGAGGATTCTTGAGCATCCAAGGAGCTTCTTCAGCTCTGAAGATACTTAAATGGGTGATGAAATGTCTTCCAACATTACAGAACATGTTCAGTTGAATGTGACTACTACAAGCTGTTCCGGTGGTGGGGGGGGGGGGGGGGGGGGGACAACTGTACAGCAGCTAATTTCCTTCATTTTGGGCAATTTATTCACTTCCTGTTAAGTTTACTTACAAAACACAAATAGTCAAAAAAAAGAAAAGAAAAGGTTTTTAGCTGTTCCCAACTATCCAAAAAGAAAAAACGTTTTGCCTTTAGACATAGTTTACAAGCCAGGAAAAAGAAGTGCTAAAAGCAAACTAGCTGTGGGCAACACAGACCATTCTTATTTGAATACTTAAAACATTTTTGTAAAATGAGGCCAAAAGGAAGTTTTTGATAAACACATAAACCCATTGATTCTTTGACATAGGAGCAGTCAACCTACCTCATGATCGGTTTGAGCCAATAACTCTCCCCTAGTGTCTTTTGTGCAGCGTGGTGGTTTCCAGGTTCGTTCTTGTGTAGCTTTATTAAAATAATAGAAACGTCCAGTGCAATCTTTGTGCGTTTCCCACTCCCCTGTAATTTGGACAGGGGCAGTGTTGGGCTGTGGGGGTAGATTGGACTGGGAAATCTTCAGTTCTTGTAGGTTTGCATATACAGGAGAGTCAGATCTCACAGGAGCAGGAGAAACAGAAAACTGGAGAGAAGAGAACACACACCAGAAGGAAAGTTTAGAAATTACCAGAGATTAATTATAGGAGAATTACACACCCTTATCACCTTCCCACAATGCCCAATTGAAGAAGAAAGAGTCCAGTCAAAGTGAAAACTCATTACAAAATTGCATTTTTTAAATTTTACTGAACAGTAAATAAAACCACTACCAGAAATGGATTTCTGCTTTAAGGTGGCAAAGGGCAAAGTTCAGTACCTGCCAGATCGTTAGTGCTAACAGGGACCTTATCAGGTGGCCCTCCATCCCCATCATGAAAAGAGCTGACAGGCTGAGCCTAGGGATCACCCGCACAACTGAGATCTCCATATATTCCTATTGACAATCCAACAAAGGGGCATCATACAGCATAGCTTTGTAATATACCCTCCAGTGAAACTAACATAGGAATATAGGAAAAGCTCAACTTTTCTTGTTCTAAATGTAGTTCACCTCAGTCAAGTGTGACAGGCTACATCCCTGCCCAGGATGGGGAGATATGTCTGGGCTGTGGTACCAAACAGCACTAAAGACCCAAAAGATGACTAAACTTCGCCTGGTTCCACACTAAAACAGAAATGTATTCCGAGGGGTGCTGCTGTTAAAAATCACGTAAAGCTTGGAAGTAAAATACAGATGACCTGCATTATTTATGAGTGACAGAAAGTAGACAGGTCATCCACTGCTTAACTGGTTAAAGATTTCTGTTTAGGTTGGAGTCTCAAGATGACTGTGGACCTCAAGAGTGAGCTTGTATACAATTGACATACCAATCCACTCTCCCATACTGTGCTAGAATCACAGGAGAGAGTACTGGACGGGTTGCTATGGGCACAACTAGTGACCTTTTTTGTTTTTACTACCCAGAGGTCCAGTGTCATAATCAAGAACTAAAAACAGTTTAAAGAGAGAAATTAAGTATTTGTTAATGGATTTTACTTCTGACTGGAGATCTTTAAATTCTATAAAATGTAAATCAATTAACAGAATTTGCATAAATACGTTTTTTGATATTGGCATAACCAAGAAAGGCTGCTAGTATGACTTCACTTCCAAATGCAACCAGAAATATTACAAAGCAGGTTGTGGAACAAAGCTCATTGATTTACATTGCACCATATTAATAAATAACACCCCCACATCCATTAATACTAACTATATGCTGTTCTCTGAAGCTCTGGTGCTTTGCCAATATCAAAAAAAAAAAAAAAAAAAGCCATAAATACTGAAAGCAGAAGTTCAAAGAGAATTGAGTGATGAGCATTGGGAAAGGTTGTTTAGTCCTCTTCTAGTGCAAAGGAAGCACCAAAGGTTCTCCCTACAAAGCCAAATGGGAAAAGCTCCCAATGCATGGCACAAGCAGAGAATGTGATGGATTTGCGGTGATTAAATTTACCGCTCATGGTGACCAAGTGCTTGGTGTAATTAATACCATTATGTCCATTACAGAGTCCTTCCCTTAGAGTTTCTTCTATTTATATAGAGATAAACCATTTTCAAGCATGTTTTTACACCAGTCATTTTTAACAACTAAATTTCAGTTTCATTCTCAAAGTCCAAGTTCAAAAACATTTGTACCTTTTCTCTGCATGAAGATTATGATTTTCAAATTATTTGAAATGTTAAGAAATTTAAAAAAAAAGTCATATATAGCACAGCAGCAAATGCAGCAAATGCAGCCCAGAATATTGAATACATCTAACCAGGCATTAAAGTGGAAATGCAGACAATTGTTTTTAAATACCACGGGGAAAGTTTGAAAAGCCTACTTAGCTTTGACAGGAAATAACCCCGCAGTAGTTCCGGTCTCGGATATCTGTATCCAGAACACGCGTCCTCATTGGGAGCTTTACCCTTACCTCCAGAACCAGGGACATGTGAAAAATGTTGCGTTGCCCTCAACCTCTGACTGACCGCTGCTATAGGGAGCAAGGCTGATTCACACCAACAAAGATAGCAATAAAAACATGACAGAGATTACAACGCCTTTCCACTGTACCTAAGCTGTTTGTCTGGAGTTCCACTTTAAATACAAAATACAGCATGTTCTACTTTTATTTCAACAGGTCCTGTATTCATGTCCTGGTGTTTTGTGTGTCCTATCCTATGGATCAATAAATACACACTATAGTCATCAATCCTCCGGTGTGTGGCTGACCCTTCTTCCTGTTACTTTTATTTCTGCACTGGAACTGACTGCACTGGTGTGAACTAGGGCCATTGGAATATATGGAAAACACTGTGCATGCATTTTTGATGCAGAAAAAAAAAACAGCACAGGACTGCATCTGGTGTAAACCAGCACTAAAGTTGCAAGCATACTCCATGTGCACACAGTTCAACATTGGCGCAACACCCCTGAAATTGGGTTAATAGCACCTATCCATCTGAGGTGTGACTAGAGCGAATAAATAAAATGCATCTTTGTTACTTTGCATACTGCTTTTTTTGTCTTGTAAGGAGGCTGAGAACAGAGGTACTTTCATAATCTGCTCCATCAATTGTTTCAAAAACACTTCTTTCTCTACAACATACATTTCCGCCTGGCAGTACTAGGGTCGTTGGTTCGAATCCCAACCACGGCACCACCTGCCTGGAGTTTGCATGTTCTCCCTGCGGGTTTCCTTCAGGTACTCCAGTTTCCTTCCACACTCCAAAGACATGCTGGTAGGTTAATTATATCCTGTCTAAATTGGCCCTAGAATGTCTATGTATGAATGTGAGTTAGGGACCTTAGATTGTACACCCCTTGAGGGTTAGGGACTGATGTGAATGTACAATATATATATGTAAAGCACTGCGTAAATTGACGGCGCTATATAAGTACCTGAAATAAATAATAATAAATAATACTACTGTTACTTATAGGCAAACAGGTAAACCCTCATTTCCATCTACACCTGACGTTTGACCTTTAGGCCCCTTTCAAACTGATGCAGTGTAGGTTGACCGCTCTGCAGGTGTAATGCCGTGTACCCGCAGATTGCTGTGTGTTCCAATAGAGTTCTATCATGTCCCATGGTCTTGATGCGCTTTTCTGAAAGTGCACCACTACTAGGTTTTGTTTTCTAGACTCTTTATATACACACAGAGCAGCACAGTGGCTAAATGGTTAGCACTTCCGCCTGGCAGTAATAGGGTCGTTGGTTCGAATCCCAGCCACGACACCACCTGCCTGGAGTTTGCATGTTCTCCCTGTGCCTGCGTGGGTTTCCTCCGGGTACTCCGGTTTCCTCCCACACTCCAAAGACATGCTGGTAGGTTAATTGGCTCCTGTCTAAATTGGCCCTAGTATGTGTATGTATGAATGGGAATTAGGGACCTTAGATTGTACATCCCTTGAGGGTTAGGGACTGATGTGAATGTACTATATGTGTAAAGCGCTGCGTAAATTGACGGCACTATACAAGTACCTGAAATAAATAATAATACACACTATTACAATATAAATCAATGTTTTTCATACTGTATGCACATGGTTTAATGTTGATGCACTTTTTCTTTGATGGATTTAAGATTTTTATCTATTTTTGGATAAGCGCACTTAATGTTTTATATTATATTAGACTGCTACAGAACATACAGTGTGGAGGGGCGATGATCCTACAGCTGAGATTCAAGCAAAGATCGTGTTTGACAAATATGCGCTGTGAGTTGTTTAAGCTGAACAGATTATATTTGGGAGAGGTTTGTGTTAACGCTGAAAGAAATCCACTTTAAAATGCAGGATGTCTCACTGCTGAACTTCCTTCAAAGGGTTAAAGGGTGTTTCTGTCTAATTTCAGCTTTAATTGTTCAACTTCAAAGATAATGATATAGTTAGAATAGGTCTGCAAATCACTGCCTAACCTGCAAGGTGTCTTGGAATAAAAGTAAAGCTAAAACTACAAAATGATGTCTGTGTGAGAGCAGTTCTCCTGAAATACACTAGAGGTCCCCAGAGAGCTCACAGTCCCATTATTGGAAGGCACCTGCCTATACAACCTGACCAGGCTGGCATGTGCCGCTGTCTGTAATCACACAACATTGGTACATCTGCACTCCGACCTTTATTTTGTAGACAACAACATTGTAAACAAGTACAGAAAAAGCAGCACAAACACGGACCAAGCTATGTACAAGTAAGGTTATGCAATGGTGAAACATTTCATTTCTCTTTTTCTATTACTCACAGCTGCAAGTCAATTTCTACCGATCCAAATGAAATTCCATTCCAATAAGAGTCATTAAATTACGTAAAATCATAAAATAATCATTTACGGCACTAAATATTCCAAAAGCAGCTCAGACTCACATTTCCCAACCAGAGCCCATTATATAATGGAAAGCCTACAAAAGAAGTCCGTAATCTTTCAAAGCAGTTGGGATTTTTTGGATGCAAACCAATAAACTAACAGTCTAACAGCGTCAGTGATGTGGCCCCAGCGTGCAGTCAGTGATGTGGCCCCAGCGTGCAGTCAGTGATGTGGCCCCAGCAGTGATGTGGCCCCAGCAGTCAGTGATGTGGCCCCAGCGTGCATGCAGTGATGTGGCCCCAGCATGCAGTCGTGATGTGGCCCCAGCGTGCAGTCAGTGCTATGATAACTGAACACAGGACACTCCAACAGATTTCATCCTGGGTCCAGAGCCCAGCCCCACATACTCTCTGCCCACCCCACCCCCATGCTTCCACTGGTCCATCAGCCAACCTGGCCCACAGCGATGCACACAAGGCAGTGCAGCCAGGCTGTCAACAATAACATATCAGACCTCCCAGAATGTAAGGACTCCAGGGCACTCAATACACAAGCAGAGTGACCTGAAGGAATCTAGAGTTGCCTGAAGTGGGATAGTGCCATCTTGGTGACTTTTAGGCAAGCGCTTTAAGGCCTCGTTTAGATAAGTGGTTGGGAGGGCGGCAAAAATGTGCGGTTGAGCCGCAATAGGCAGCAGACGAGGGATGTTTTCAAGCCGCAGTTGCGACTGCAACAGTGTTAACCTGACATGGACTGTTCGGT